GAGTGACAATGGTGAAACTAACAATTAATAGCTGTGATATTGATGTTACAAAGATGAGTTTAATACTTCGATCTACAAATGATTATATTTCTATCTCAAATATCGACTAAATACTAAATAGCTCTATTATATAACTTTTGGTATAGTTAGAATATTGAACTAAGTAGACTTCCCATCTCGGTAATTCTTTTAACACTTTTTTGATAAAAAAAAGAACCAAGGAAGGAGTTGAATGTGACAATCAATCACTCTGCCACTGTCAAATTTTCGTTATAACATTACTTGGTTAGAAAATTCACCTATTTTACAGAAATCGGTAACATCAGCAGTAAAATTAGTTCGAAAATTGAATGGAAAAGTTTAATCAGCGCCCACATGAATCAAAAGTCAATACAAACTTCGGGGTTTGCAATTGGGTGAAATACATCTATGATCCAAATTAAATGGTAGGATACGAGTTTTTGAACGATAAATTAAACGAAATATCAATACTCTTCTTATTTCTTGCTTTACAGCCCACACCTAATCGCGATCAGTGGCGTGGCCTATTTTACGCGTACAATATGGTTAAAATGGTAATAAAATGGTTGCGTGGAGTAGACAGGTTATAAAATAATGTTCAAGATGAGTGATGGTTTGGCGCGTCTCCACGTGGCCAAGTCTCGCCACAGACCTCCAAATAATGTGTAACACGACCGCTACACAAAGACCACGGAAATAAAACATAGATCACCAGCTGGGTTAAACACGTGAAAAACGATCGGATAAAAGAATTTAAATGTTCTTCGTACGTGTGGGCCACAGTAGGTGGCTCTTTTGTGGAGGTAATGTCTTGATTATTTCTGTCTTCATGCTGAAGAAAATTCTTTGCGTAAACTAGTGTTTTTGTGAATGTTATATGGGAAGCTAAAGAGGTTAAAATATCGGGAAGTAATATTTTTAATCTATGGTATAGCTAGTCATTATTCATTATATAACATTCTTACTTTAACATAACCAACAATGCGTTTGGAAACATAAAATTTAAATGTGAAAGTACCAAATGCCTTGTATAGGCCTACTGTAGAAGTTCATGATTTTCTTGATCGAGGCAGTGGCGGTTACAAAAGGGGGTGGCTAAAGACCACCCATTTCTCTGGACTCTGGAATAATAAACTTTAACACAAACGTTATTAACCAATTTTATTAAATTTATTATTAATTTAATTTCATTTATTTACGGATCTACCATTTACATATAAAGAACATATAAATAATCCACCGATAAAATATAAAACTGATCCGTAGAATTATCGAAAAACAAAACTATAATCACATGGTACATTTCGTCTTACGTAACGGAGGGTTTTGGACACAGTTCTAGACGTTAAAAATTGCTTTACAGGGCCACCAAATGGCTGCAGAAATATCACATTTTGCAGGAGTAGGAGAGGATCCCTGGACACAAAAACAATTTTGATTCTTTCTTCGGAGAGCCTCCCTTGACAAGGTCTATAGCCGCCACTGGATCGAGGCAAATAAAATTAATGATAGCTTTGTTTATTAAATTTGACTTGTCGATAACTTAAAACTAGACTTTCCATTCCAATGTTGTACTGTAGCCAATTTTAGAATAAAAATGTACGTAATTGAATTGAGAACATCATAGAGAAGTACAGAGGAAACGGAAGAAACTTGCTTATGGGACGTCCTAGCGCTTTCAGCTCTAATGTTGTGCCAGTATTGCACAACATTATTATTGTATTTATTATTGTAAGGGGACAAGCAAAAAAGAGCCGGAGCGGCAAGCACTGTGCGGAAATTCCTATAGCACAGACAGGACCACAGAGTCCTCCTTCCACCATGAGCTTTGTAGTAGGCTACATGAGGGGGAGGGTTTGACTTTGTCTTAGACACCAGCAGTGCCAGTGGCTAGTGCTAGACACCACTTAAGTGTAACCATTGAATGTTTCCTCTGTACCTTTACTTCGTGGCCACATACAGAATCCTGATGTAAAAATTACTCACTTCCCTTATTTTCTTAAATTTTCATTATGCACTTCAAAATCCAATTCACTTAATAACCACCCATTTTGTTTGTGAGTAACTATCACCACTGATTTAAGAGTAAACTCTTTAATCTGTGCTATCACTCAGTTTTTATTATATTTTTTAGAAGGGCTTGTATGTTTAGCACACCATTTGGAAAACGTGTATTAACCTATTGCAATTTTAACGGTTACTCAAAACTTGTTTTAAAGGAGAAAGAAAGCACAAGACTTAAGGTAATCCATTATCATATTTTATTGCTTCTGAAGCGTCAGAGTATCTGGCAGTTTCTCCCCGATTCCACTCATAGAGAGCAGATGAAGCAAGAAACAATTTCTCAATCAACGGACAGACAATGTGCGTAAACATGGCCTGTTGCCACAAGCATGGGAGTCTACACTCAGGTTAGATACTTAATGCTTTGGCCTCTGGCCACTGATAGTCTGGACTTAGGCCAGGCCGGCCTCCATTGTGTTCAATGGGAAACAATGCTCAATGAGTTGAGTAACATCCCCTTCATTTGATGGTTTACAATCGAGTTCTAGTTAGAAGGAATTTTGGTTGCAATCTCCAACTTAAGTAGATATTGAGAATAGAATTACCGCCACCGGTTACTTTAGTTCATAAAGTTTGTTTTCAGTTTAGTGATAAAACCTCTTTACACACCATTTTTAATCTATCACACAGTCATTAAGTTAATCTGCTGTTATTCCTTGATCAGATTTTCTGTTTTCTTTTTACTGGCTTATTACGTACCTACCGAAATTGATTTATTTCATGTATGTGCTAAGCATATTTTTCGGTGGCTGGTAGTTACTCATTCCCCAAACACAGGTATTTTCATATGTAAAATTGCTCATGAATTAGAATTTTAATCAAGACAACAACAAAATAAACTGTATCAGCAATCTGACACATACTTTCTCCCATTAGCTTGTCAACAACGTTTAACATGGGTAAGCACCAAGCGGTGGGAGTAACAAAGAATTTTCTGGATTTTTTATAGGAAAATAACATAAGTTACAATAACATTTGAACCGAAAATCTTACAGGAATGGGAATTGTACCATTTTGTCCAGAAATTAAAGGACCATAACATACTAATTAAATTCAAAATTGGTTTTTTTTTCTAAAATCCTATGTTATGTTTTTTATGCAAAATAACATAAGTTACGACCACTTTTGAACCGTAATTTTTACAGATGGGCTATAATGTTTTATGATTAAAAGGCTTCATGATAATTTTTTATCAAAATCGTTCAGGCCAAATTCGACCAAAAAATTAAAAAAAAAAACCCTGGAGATACCATGAATTAGTACCTGCATACCAAATTTCATCAAAATCAGACTACAGGTGTGGTCTAGTCTGTAGCTCTATACACATCCAAACATACAGACAGATATCACTTCAAAAGCCATTTTTTTTTTCAAAACTTAAACTTAAAAATTTTGACAAAAGTAATACTTTCTCCATACTACAGTATGTATAGGGGGAGAAAGTAAAAGTGTCCTATACTAAATACTGAGGGAGTAAAACTGCTTAATGTGTTTTGCCCCAAATTGTTTTTTTTTTTTACTTAATCACAAAAGATTATGCATTCCTTGCTGTAAACTACCTGTTACTGGCTAAGAAACAGGTGATCTTTAGCCAGTTACTGTAACAAAACTACTTACCAATGACATTTCAATCAATTGTGAACTCCAATTTATTGAAATATTTTCCTGAAGTCACCTCCTCATGTTGCTGTAAACTTTTTCAAACTATTATTGTTTAAAATTATTAATTTAGACACATTACCGTCATCTGTAGGCCATTACCACTTTTTTATTAACGATGTGGAACATTCTTTGCTACATTAACAAGTTAGTTTGGCATCTTAAGTTCCATTGTAGCTGGTACCGGTACATTAAGCAGGAAGTGACACATAGCTAATACATCTATTTAATGCTCTTTCCAAACAAAACTTTGTAAATCTGTCTCTAATTTTTAATTATGGTTCAATATAACAGTGATAAATGTACGACACTAACAACAAGAACATAATTTTAGGAAGGAGTCGTGAGTGTAAGGATTGCATGGTTTCTGAGCGGTTTTAGAGTGTTACATGTGATACTGAGAAAATTCTCTTTGTCTGTAAGCTTTAGGAAAGTTTGAAAGTCTTAATCTAACTTTTTAAATCTGACATAACAAATTTCAAACAGATCAATGAATTGTTTATTTTTAACGAATTTCTATATTGGGAAGTAGGTATTACCGAAGGTGGCACAATAAGACCTAGGCCCGGGACCGATTTAATTTTTCAAATTTGATGTCCCCAGAGAACAAAAACACCATTCATTCAAATTATTATAAATATATGTCCGTAAATCCGATAACTTGAGTATTTTTTTCCGATTTTGATGAAATTTGGTTTAAAGGTGTAAGGCGGGATAAACTTGAATGAGTTCGCAAACCAGCATGATCGGACCATGGGAACGGGTTTTAAGGGGGGTTTTATGGGGTACAAATTTGTTTTTCTCATTTTTGACCCTCAAATCACAAAATTTCCTAATTTCTCTCTAGATCTTTTTAAAGAGCATAAAAAACAAATAATCTAGTATATCAAATTGTTTTTGTACATTTATTGTTAATGTAGAAAATTCAACAATTGTAATTTTAAATTTCCCATGTCATTCTTATGGAGAATTTTGTAAAATTTTGTAGTTTGCTTGTTTATGGATATCAAACCTGGCAAATTTATTTATTTCATACTAAGCTATTAATACTTTATTAAATAACACACTTTATTAATATCCATGAAGCAACAAACCTATGTGCTCTTTAAACCTAATGTTATTTAATAGATTTAAGTTAATTGAAAATCAATTCAGACAAATGGAAATTCGCTTAGTCGGCAGGTTTGCTGCAGCGGGGGTATTTATCAATACTCATATAAAACAATATCAACTCAAGGTAAGGAAACGAATCTTGGGAAGTCGTAACATTTGTTTAATTAGTAAAGCTTGTCATGTATAAACCACAAATTGATGTTTGAATCTTTGACGTGACATTTCTCTTATCAAAAATAATAATCAGTCGAAAATTATGATATTTTCATAAGTTAAACTTAATGACTGTTATAAAAAGTGAAGCTTGTCAAGTAGAAACAAACATTTTAAATGCAAATAGAAATAATACAGGTCTGCTTTATCTCCTTTTCATACCTAAATCATTACAAAATATACTACATTGTATTGTATAAGTAGAATCTTTAAAATGACTGACAATTTTTTCAAGTTGTAACAAGTTCAATTTGTCACCTCAAGAAAAAAATATAAAATACCAAGTAGACCGGTTTTGATTGTTCTTCTACCTAACTCAATAAACAACTTATCTTAGTTAATAAAACAATTAATTGATTGGCTGTTATGACAATGTCTTACAAGTCATAAATTGTCATGTAAAACAAACATTGAATGTTTCATATGTGTAGATCTGTTTTTCACCTTTCTCATATCTTAATTAGAACTTATAATAATTCATAAAGTGTTAAAATGCTTTTTATTAATACTTTTAGGTGGTAACAGTTTTTGACTCGTTGAAAACACCCAATTGAAATAATTGGATTTTTTTTGTTTTCTCATTTTAAATAGGTAAGTACATTTTACCAACTCTTATATCATAATGTTTTACTAATTTTGTCATTTTCTAACAAAATCGTTCAAGCTGAGACCTTTGAAATAAACTACTGAAATAAACTTTGAGACCACTTAAAATAAACTAAAATCAGATTCTAAAAAAAACTTCCAAAACTTCTAAAAAAATAAAAAAAAGCTTCTAAACTAAAATTCCCTATTTCGATGTGTACTTTGTCTGTATTTTTCTCCTACTTCAATAATGTAAAATTATACAATAACAATAGAAATATTTTAAGTTTGTAATAATATTTGTTTGACAGATATTATTTACTGACCATTAACCTTATTATATCCAAGCCATGGATTGAAATTCATACATATCTGTTTCGTGTCCTTTTAAAAAATATCCAGTTCATTAAGTAAGATTTTGAAACAGAGACAAAATAATTCGAGACTTAGGTACACACCTTCCTTTCATCTCAAGTTCTACTACTATAAAAATAAATTACAGTCCTTAAAAAACAATTATTTGGTTCCTATTGGCGTTAACAAAACATACAAAATTTGTATACACAGATTATCTAGAAATTCACATTTATGCTACATAGTACCTAATTACAAGTCGAGGAGTTTTTTTTGTACAGGGATAGAGTTGAACTAGCTTACCTCAGAAAGTTAGTGTCCAGTGGTTAAAACATACCTAATAAAAGGTCCCATAAGATTTTTAAAAATATAGAACTTCTTTAGAGAGTGAAGAAAAATAGTCGTTTAAATTTAATGTTTTCTTTATTATGCTCTCTGAAAAGTCCTATCTTAAAAACACGGGTTACGTTGTAACTACCAGTACATTACCGAAGACCGAAAGTCTTCCTAACCTCAAGTTATGAAAACATCTTCAACCTTATTAGTTAGCCTCTTTTAAATGTTCCTGTACATAAAACATCTTTTGTTCTACATTCTGTTTGTAAATATATGCTTTTTCTTTAGTGGCCAATATACTTGAAATGAAATGCTTTATTGTCATTAAAACTAAGTACAAAGTTCATGACAATCGTCAAAAAAAAGAAAAAGAAAACAATCAAGATGGCAACTAAAATAACTAAAACTAAAACTCTAAACCAAAGTACCGGTACTCTACATGTTTAAAAAAGATAACTAAAATGACTCAAGCTTTGATCTCATCACAAATTTATCTTCAAACTACTCTCCAAAAGTCCTATCTGAGAATGAAATACCAGTGTCATTTTTGTGAACTTTCTTTCTCGTTTGCTTTAGAAAGCAGGCTCGATTAGGCAACTGTGCCACCATTATGTCACCTTTAATACAATAATTTTAAATTTGTCCCTCATAAGGAGAAAATGTGGTTCTTTGGAATCGCCTTCTGCTGGTATGGCATCAAATGATCACTTATTGAAGCTAATTGTTTAACGTTCGTAAATGTTTTTCTGTGTTGTCTTCAGATTTTTATTTAGCCTACTTTAACTTTGTGGAACTAGCCAAACGTTTCTGGTTCTGCATTTTGTAAATGTGACCTTGTATTAAGTATCTATCAACTCTTGTACTCCTCTCTTGAGTAAACTATCTGAACTTTATCCTTTCAGAACTCCTTAAACCTTTCAGCTTTCCATCATAAAACCCTAATTACATGTATACCCTTAGGAATTACAACGGGTCAAAGAGTAGCACCGTTGACTCACAGCAATTCAATAATATCACAGTCCGCAGACGTTTGCCCTGTTGTAGCGTGCACGGACGTGCTAGCAGGTTGAGTGACCGTGCAGCGCACACGCGAGGGTCAGGAGGCTTTGGAGATACCCAAACTTTCTCTCAACAGCTGTGCAACGTCGATGGTTGCCATCACTTCATCGTCTAAAAAGAAGAAAATTAGCTGGCTTTAAAACTTATCAAGATACTTGAATGTAATTCATGAACAATACAGCTAGGTATTCTATGATTATGCTTATGGATACATTTTAAAAATGGTTAGAACATGACGTACCTTTAATAGAAGTAACTTCTCTTTCTAAATGCAGTTTCTCTTGAGCTATCCTCAAGATCGCCTCTTCAATGGTCCCTTCACTCACAAATCTCATGATAGTCACAGGTCTGAAAAAGTATTGGAATAAATGAACGGAAAAAATTTGTCTTGCATGGTACTCGTATTTTGGAGCTTAGTGTAACACTTTACTGTTCTAGATGAAATTTATTTTTATTTAATTATTTTATCGCTTGAATTTATTTATTTTACTCATTTTTTTTTTAATGTTATTTGAATATACAATCACTTGTTTTTATATAGGCCTACATCATCAACCTTTTAATTTACCCTTAGCTTGGTTCAAAAATCTTACCACTCGCATGGATTATGAATACCCGACCATTGACTCATCTTCTTTCTCTTGATGGCCAAAATAGTAAAGCGCAAGTGTTCCCTTCAAATAAAGAAAATTAAAATAATTTGTTTGTATTTTACCAAGCAAATTTGACCACACGGCTGTTAATAATACTTAACCTAACAAAATACAGCAAGAAAAAAGTATATTAGCAACATCAAACATAAGGACATAAGAAAATTCATTCCATCTTTCAAAGCCTTAAATCAGCTCTGTGAGTCTGTATCAGCTGTGTGACACACTATTGGAGACTGGTTTGGTGACATGTATGCTACTAAAGATTATTTCACCAACCTGGTCTGTCCCATCCTATGACAACGGTCCTCTGCCTGTTTGTCGTTGTAAGGGTTGAAGTCTACATCGTGTATAATCACAGTGTCAGCAGCCGTCAGATTTATCCCGATGCCACCAGCTTTGGTTGACAGCAAGAAAACAAAAATGGATTCGTCTTCGTTGAACTCATCAATCATGTCTTGCCTGTAGAGAAACCAAGAGCGGGTTTTGTTTTTACAAAAATACTAAAATAACTCCATAACTGTATGGTTAACATAAATTTGTTGAATGGAATCAAAAGTGCTCTTTTTAACAAAAAGAAACATTAGTATCCCTCAGTACTTTTACACAGCAGTCACATTGCCCATCTGTTGACTGAATGACACATTGCCCCACTGCACATTGACCTGATCGGCATCCAGACTACTTAAGTTCCCTACCAGATGTCACACTCCATCGTAACCCCCTGTAGTAAATGTGTTCTTATTCAATAACACCAATTAATGCAGAAAAACATAAACAAACCCCTTTATCAAGGTTAATTTCAAAATTTAATGTTCTTACAGATTATTCTCTTAACTTTTTGGGGTCAAGTAAAAATCTGTGGGTTGGAATGCCTTTTTATCAACATTATACGCTTAGCAATATGGGAGTGCTCTGAACACATGCACTTAACCTGGCGTTGAGGGGTACTATCTCAGTGTCTTCAAATAAGTGAATTTTGTAACTGGTAAACATACTGAATTAGCTTTAGCAAAACAGAGCTAAATCAGTCTGCAAAGAGAATATCACAAAATTGTTCACACAGACTTGCTTGTCCAGCTAAATCAAACAAAACATCCGTTACCTTTCTCAAACAGGGCTTTATCAAAACAAAACTATTCTGCAAAGGGAATTTCACAAAAACTTTCACTGATTTGCTTGTCCATAAAAGCCAAGATATAATCAAACAAAACATCAGTTACCTGTCACAAACAGGCGTGGAGCCGTCCAAGCGTAGAAAGTTGTGTTGTCTGACTCGCATGTAATCCTCCATTATATCCAGCAAGAACACAAACTGAGAAAAGATGAGAACTTTGTGTCCCGTCTCCTTGAGCGGTGGCAAGATCTCGTCCAGTTTGAGGAACTTACCACTGAGGACGAGGACAGGATCAGGCAGTTCATTACCCGACAGACACTGGCAACAACAAAAACCATGAGTCAGGCAATGAAGATCAGTGTGTTAGCAAAATTCCTATTTAGGGAATAAGCTATTAGTGTATGTCTCGTGGTAAGACCTAGAACAGGGACTGATTTACTTTTTTTGTCGAGGTCCCTAGGAGTCAAAAACACCATCCTTTTAAATTCAAATTAGCACGATAACTTGAGAAAAATGATCCCATTTTGATGAAGTTTGGACTAAAGAGGGAACCTACATGATTTCAAACAAGTTTGCAAACCAGCATGATCGTGCTATGAGAATGATAGGTTTATGGGGGGGGGGGGGGGTTTGGGGGTTAATTTTGGGGTTTTCTAGTCTTGATCATTAACATATTTAATTTTGAAATTACTTTCTAAACCATTCTGTAGGGCTCTAAAAACAAACAATTTAGATTATTGAAGCGTTGTTGTGCACTTAAGGGTGCGCTCTACCCGTCTGGCGCGCGCAAATGTAAGGGTTTTAGTTCTTCCTGATTGTAGCCCCAATTGTGAACCGATTTAAAAGATCTTGGTGTCATATTTTCCGTCAAATGTTATTGTAGGTTTCCCGTTTTTTTAAATTTTGATAATTTAAAAAATTTTGGGCTCAAAGGTTGGTGAAAAATGTAAAAAGAGGCGTTCTTTATAATGAGTTTTAATACATAAAAATAATTTTTAGAGAAAAAATAAAAAACGGGAGACGTGCAATAGATTTTTAAAAACAAGAATCTGGAATTAGTTTACTAAAAAGTTGAATGCTAACTATGTAATCACGCAGACTCGAAAGGCTTGCAAGCGCTCTTCAAGGCGCCGTGCAGTGGCGCGGCCATGCGGCCAACGGCTCAACCTGTCGTCGGCTCTCCCACCACAGCCATCGATCGATATTTCCCCTCCTCTCGGTTGATTCTATTCTATCTTTGCGTCGTCGCCGTTTTTACGCATACTAGTGTCCCTGCTGCTCGGATTAATTGTCACAAAAAACCTGCTTGCGTATTAAATAAGTAAATAGACGAGTATACTGTCCTCTTTGTAAACAGTTATACTCAGCCAACGCAACTTGCTTGCACAGATTCAGCTTTAATACTTTACCAAAATATAAGTTTGTTTATTAACGTCGGGTATGAGATTGCTCTAATAACAACCACAATAAAGAGTTTTTTTTAGAAAACCAGTACTCAATAGTACTGTTTTATTAAAACAGCATTTTTAAATTTTTGTAATTAACCCCTCCAAGTTGGGGACTTGAATCTGATACCTCAAATGTTCTAGCTAGACTATTGACCACTCAGCCATTCAACTTCAAGTTAAAAACCACTACAAGTCATAACTCGGGTCTACAAATAAAATACCCTGTCGCAGCAAAACTATTCACAAAGCAAATTTCAACTTGTATGATTAAAGTATTTTTACTAAAATACTTCCAGAAATAAGACAAACTTATTCCTATTTAAATAACATTAGATTTAACGAGTGCTTAGGTGTGCTGCTACGGGGAAGGTAAAAAGTGTTTCTTGACCATACGTCAGTATACTGAAATTAATGAATTTGCCAAATTTTATCAACATACAGTGTATCCATAAACAAGTAAATTAAAACGGTTATAATTTTCTCCATAAGAATAACATGGTAATTTTTAACAACACTTTTTTCAATTTTCTTCCTGACCGTAGGCATACAACAGCGCTTCAATATACTAAATTACTCTGCACCGAGGGGTTTTAAGTGGATAAGGCCTTATACTGCTCTACTAGGCTACAACCTCAAAATCCCATCCCCATCCCCAAAACCATGGCGCAGAGCCGTCTGCGCATGCGCGCGCGCGGGAAGATGACAACTGAGGCGACTACCTAGGCGACTACCACGACCACGTGTTTCTCACTCGCTTGCACACTTGCACTGATTTTCACCGTGTTTTGAGTGTTTTGGTCTTTATTGTCATTTCTCGTGTGCTTCAAGATGCCCAATCCTAGGACAAGAAAAAAGAAAAAACTTAATTTAAGTGCCAGAAGGTTGAAGAACAAGGGGAGTGAAAGTTTACATCGTTGGCGGGAATTACAGAAAAATAAGGACGAGAATAGGTAACGTATGATGAGAGTTATTTAAGTTAGAAGTACATAATATTATTGTAGAATTAAATACCCAAATATTACTTATTACTTATTTGTTGGTACTGGGGTAGGCTACTACAATCAAGTAAGGATAGACCTACAGGTTTTTTTTTTATTCCTACTACTGCTGTATGAGGAAAGTGTGAGTAAAGATCACAGTAAGCATAAATTCATTGATATTATAGCCACTTTACAGCTAACTGGCTGAGTAGCCTAAAACATTGCTAAAATATAGAGATCTACATAAACTGCTAGGTAAGTACAGACAGGTAATTATTAGTTGTCTATTAGTAAACTATTTTGTATAGACTCCGCCTCATTTTCACCTGAGGTTGTTTAGCGCTTTTTTCTAAGTAGCAATGTAGGTTTTCCTACAGTTTGTGGTTAGAAAAAATAGTTAGACTTGTATAAAAAATAGTTATAAAAATAGTTATAAATAAAATTATAAATGCCTTAAATTCAATTTCATTATTTTTGTATTATAAAAACTAACATAACCTAACCGAAACAAACTTGCTGATAATTAAATAATATAACAAAAGTTTAGTAACAGAAAAACAATAATTCTGTTTATTAAATAAAAATAAAAATAAAAAAATAAATAATTAGGTTGGCTTACTACTAATTTTGTGTAAATGGTAGGTATTTTTCAAAGTTATCTTAATTTCAAGTTTTATTTTTTTTTAATAGATTTTCACACAAACTAAAAAATCTTATTTCATATTTCAGCATGATCACTCCTAGTAATAATTCACCCGAAACTGAACAAAATGAGATCCATTGCAGTACTCCGAAGAATAAAGAAGCAAATGAAGCATTGGATGACAATGTCACTCCTATGGACATTTCAAGTGACAGTGATGATGATTGGCTGGCTGGAATTGAACTAATCCCTGCTGGAATAGAAGAGTCCAGGTACATTGTTCTAAAATGATGTTTTCCTCTAAAATAATTTTTTGCCCTTCATCAATTACTTTAAGAAATATATATATATATATCAATAAAATACGACTCTCTTCCACAAACAGAGGTATTCCTTCTTTGTGGAAGATATTTTGCTAATTTAAATCATGTTCATATTTTTATGCTTATATTAAGTTAATATACCTATTACTACAAAACTAAACAATATTGTCAAGATTTTTGTATGGGACTAATATGATGTAATTTGTAAATATTTTGGCGGAATAAACGCTATTTTGATTTGATTAGACATTCAGACATAACCAGTGATTTATAATATAATTGACATTTAATTTAATCTAAATTCATTAAACTGTGATTATTAACGTTTCTTACAATAATTAATGGGTTGTAATCATTGACAATAGATTAACGTTCGGTTGCAGAAATGAAGATAACGACGATGTAAGTTCCAAAGAAATACCTTTATGTGGAAGAAGAATAGTTAACGTTCCCCACTTCATAAAATCATTGCAATCACTTGAAAATCATGAACCATTCAATTGCAAGTTTTCGGACATGTGTTTGATTAAAGATAGACAAATTGGCCTAATTGATGAGTTGACATTTGAATGCAAGCTTTGTCGAAAAATTGAAAAAATTTCGACAGACTTGTTACCTAATGCACAAAACGTTGTGAATCTCAATACTTTGATGGTAAGTACTGGTTATCAACACTTTTGTAGTAATGCAAATATAGCTTACATTAGCGCCGTGTTCGGTACGTCGTCGTGCATACCACGGCCTCCGCCGTTGACTACAGTTCTCGCAGCTAGTCTGGGCGCGCGGCCGCGCTAGGGCAGGGGGTGTAGAGGGGAGTGTTTATTGCACATTTACAAAAACATTCGGCCCACACGGCACACTGGGGTTGTTCAGCGCCTCACTGCTGTCTTCATGGCTTTGGCGTGGGGGACGGTTAGTACACAAGGGTCCGCGCGCCCAGACTAGCTGCGAGAACTGTACATGATCTCCGCCGAGCTCAAGACAGAAATTATTGATTTAAAAAAAGTGTTTTTTTTTTTGGTTAAATTGAAATATGTAGCATCGGATATTCATATTTGTTCGCAATAATCTCCAGTTTTGCAATAGGTTGACAAGTACATTGTCTGGACTATTGTAGCGCTCTTGAGTTTTATTTTCCAACACAGGTTTTTTTCTATCAGAAAAATACAAATTTTATATCCAAATGCCTTTTTATGTGCATGGCCAACTTTTTTAAGTCACCAAACACAAAGATGGCTCATTAGGCCTTTTTTTAAATATTTTTTAGGTTGAAGGAATGACAAATATTGGTCAAGGGTACAATCAGCTGGAGGAGCTATGTTGCAATCTGGACATGCCATGTATGTCCATCCAGACTTACCACAAACACCAGCAGTTACTCTATCAAACAGTGCATGAATGCTCTTGGGAGAGTATGTCAGAAGCAGCTAAAGAGGAAGCTGAACTAGCAATAAAAGAAGGAAGAGTAGACGAGACCGGAATCCCAGAAATCACAGTAGTTGTTGACGGGGCATGGAGTAAGCGATCGTACAAAACCAACTACAATGCTCTCTCTGGACTAGTAAGGCTGATTTTACTTTTTTTAAATAATCAATGAGCAACATGGATGTTTAAAAGTGTTGAAATATCTTTGCTATTTCATTATAATGTGACCCCATATATGCATTTGCTTTGGGGAGTCAAAATTATTTACCATAACTTATGTCTTACATTTCTGTTTTAACTTAACAGACAAATTTAAACAGAAAACAGTTAAATTTAAATAATTAAAGTTATGTTACAACTATGGCTTTTACATAACTCTATTGATTTTATTGTTATATAAAATTTATAATTTTACTAATTACGGAAATAATTTTAATTCGTTTAACCCGTCGATCTTCAATATATTTGCTATTACTTTAGAACTTGACTGATACTGTAATTTGAGATACATATATCATTTTTTTGGTAACATTTGAATAAATTTTCATCCTTGTCTTTTTTATTTTTTAGGCTTGCATAATGGGGCTTAAAACAAAGAAAGTACTCTTTGTTGGCGTACGAAACTCGTACTGCTGCATTTGTTCTCGGGCCGAGTCCAAAAAAATTCAACCGGCAGATCATGTTTGCTACAAGAACTGGACAAAGTCGTCGACATCAATGGAGGCTGATATTATTGTAGAGGGCTTTAGAAAAAGTGTTGAGATGTATAATTTGAAATACGTCAATGTAATAGGTAAGTAGATAAACGTAATAGCATAGACAAAAGAATTAAATACACCGTCAGCTGTGCTGCGGTAGAGTTTGAGTTTTCTAACGGGCAATTTGTTTATAGTGGAGGTTTCATTCTTCTACATATTATTATTATCCTCCATAACATAAAACAACACTAACTCACTAACATTATTATCAATAATCATAAACCCAAACGTAATTTCACACCATTATGGTTTTGCTTATTCTATCAGTAATGGTTTCCTAAATTAAATATTGATATTGTTGACATGTTTGTGTAAATCAGTGTTGTGTTGTTTTAGGTGATGGTGACAGTAGTGTAATGTCCAAGCTGACTCAGTGTCAACCATATGGCCCAAGTACAACAATACGGAAAGTGGAGTGCACTAATCATCTCCTCCGAAATTATATTAGGAAAATACGGGAAGCCGGGGAACAGAAAAGAAACCAGTTCGGTCCGATCCCAGGAGAGCTGAGGGATAAAGTACTGGGAAGCTTGATGCGATTGCGCCATGCTGTAACTGGTGCTGTTAAACACCATAAAGGCAATGTATCACAGCTAGGGATCCACGAGAGTGTCAAAACGTTAAAATTTTATCTTCAAAATGGACCAAACCATGTCTTCGGCGACCACTCTAAATGCCAACCCTACTTCTGTAAACGCGCGAGTGTAGGTGAACCAAATGTGGTGGAACGTCTAAAAGTCCATGGTGTCTGGCCTAACATCATGGCTGCTAACGCTTTTCTGTGTAATTTTGCATACAGCCTGCTCCAGTGTGTTACCTCCAACATTGTAGAAAGCTACAATGCCAAAGTTTGTAAGATGGTGGGAGGGAAGAGGGTCAACTTTGTGCAGAGGAACAGCTATTCTGTGAGGAGTGAGCTATCGGCGTTGTCGATGAATGAGGCCGAAGAGGTTCATCGCCGCATTCACAAAAGGTTGGCTCTTGGACATAGCCCTGGTGTTCACGCAAAGTTGCTCGCCTCAAGAAGGTGCAGGAAGAGGACAAGACCAAGAAAATCACTTTTTAAGGAAAAGAAAAATAAGAGGAATCTTGATTATCGTGCCGATAGAGATTACGGCGATGTTCCCGACTTGGACCTTGATGAACAGGAGCTGTGTCAAAGGAAAACTAGTTTCATGAAATCACTGGCTCTTGACTCAGAAAGCAGGGCCAAATTAGAATACGAGTCTCGTGGCCAGAGTTCAAGTGAGTTGTGGAAGCAGGAGAGGAAAAAAAGGCTTACGGCTTCAAACTTTGGAAGAATCTGTAAGATGAAACAAACGACTTCTTGCCAAAAGACTATAGAGCAGCTCCTCTACAAAGAGTTCTCGGGAACAAATGCAACAAGGTATGGGTTGGAGAACGAGAGGACAGCCATTTCCGAGTTGGAGGATCTCCTGTGCATCAAGGTACAAGAGTGTGGGCTTTACGTGGATGAAAAGCTCCCATTTTTAGCAGCATCTCCTGATGGACTTGTTGATGATGAATGCATAGTAGAGGTAGATTCATTTTAATTTATTTATAGAAATTTATTTTGGATAATTTATATTGCATTTTTGTGGTGTGAGTTTGAAGGAAACTAAACTAAACCACAATATTCCAGCATACTTCTAACAAATGAGTAAAACAATCTAATATCGGGGTCAATTGATCTTAAATTCATGGTATTTCTAATTATTAAACCTAACATTCTGTACGGTTTTATCTCCTAGTGTCAGTCCTACCAATATATCCAAAAAGAATAAATAATCGACCTTTTCAAAAATAGCACGTTTTATGTGACTGGAATTTTATGTAACTTTGTAAATTAATGAATTTAAAATATGTTTTAACCTCATATATTATATGAATAACATTTTAGTAATTTTTCATTTTACACATGCTTTTAACCTTTTGAATTATATTACAGGTCAAATGTCCACCATCAGCCAAAGAGTTTTCACCAGTGGAGGCAGTAGAACGGAAAATTATAAAGTTCTGCACTAAAAATGAAGAAGGTGATTTGATCCTGAAAAGGCGGCACAGTTACTATTATCAAATCCAGGGACAACTACATATAACTGATAAAAAGTTCTGCTTATTTGTAGTATGGACTCCCCATGGTTTGTCTGTGGAAAAGGTTGTGAAGGATGACGAGTTTTGGATGAAACATATGGAGTCTCAGCTGAGGACATTTTACAACAAATGTATTTTACCGGAACTGGTAGATCCAAGGTATCCTAGGGGACTTCCTGTTAGGGACAGATTTTAAGCCGTCACCAGCCGTTAGGCCTACTGTGTTGGATTTTATTTTGTAATATTTATATAACGTGAATGTACTTAGTATACTAGCTCTTTTTGTAATATTTATTTTTCATTATTAGCTTTGCAATATGCAAAATTGTGTACAAATATATTTCTCGTCATTCTAATCTTGTTTTATAGTACCTTTGACTACGAATACAAGTATCCAATAGTCAATTATATTACCGAATTGTTGCCAAAGTCCTCTGGTAATACCAGATGTTTATTTCCAGATTTACTTTGTATACAAACAAGAGTAAAATTCAACATTTACTGTTCAATATTTATTAGTTACTATAATTACTTATGAATATTTAATTCATAACTAACTATTATACAGTATATATCCATATATAAAGTTTCTGGCATATAATTATCACAATACACATTAAATAGTCATTACATTACGAAGGATGGGTAACTAAATTTACAAGCGTATGTTGTAGCGTATGTATGTAACAGGTTGCTATGACGTTTTTTGCGAGATAACATTAAAAAGGTAAACAAGACTCGCCACGTATGTTAGTCAACGAATCGTCTAAAAAGTACATTACCGTATAGGACACAGAAAAAGGGAAGAACAATCATATTTATATTATTGAGCATGGATTTCTTCTTTATGTGATAAAAGATGCTATAAAAATGAAGTTTTCATATCACCATTGCCTTTTTTGTAAACATTAATTACATAATTATAATCCCCAAGAATGTGTGAGATACCGACTGATTCTGTGCCCATTACGGTGTAGCTACAGTTGGAATAGAGGTTAAATAATAATGAAAATCTTAAACATCGACAAAAGAAAATAAATAATTATAACAGTTGATTAAAAAAAAACTTAAGATTACTATAATTTAATGTAGTGATACTTTACAAAGTATAACTAAAGTATTTTATTTTTATTCAATAATGACAAACAAGACTAAATATTTAGGAATGTTTTACTTTTTACTGTATAAGCTTATGGGAGCGATAGCGAACGTCACGTTGCTACCAGTGAGTGTCGGTGGCAGGGCATGATGGAGGTTTGAGCAGAAGCAAAAGATATGCGGACGCGCGAATAACAACCTGGTTGCGCTTGCGCGTGTGTGCGTCGGGAGCTCCGCAGGGCACTGCACTGCCTAGCGGGGAGCGGCAGTCAACTCGCGAACCTCCTAGCTCCTCCCACCCCTTCCCCTCCAACTGGGTTGAACCGACACGGCGCAGTCTGGCGGACACTTCGAACATCGTTCTGAGATTTCCGAGCTGAGGTAGAGCCCACCCTTAATGATAGGGGAGAAAATTTGAAATAACTATAAATATTAAATATCCATGTTATTGTGGAGAATAGGTAAACTGTTGTAGTGTGCTTGTTTAAGAACATATCAAATTTTGAAAACGTATTTATTTTATGCTAAACTATTAACCTTTTACTTACCTAAAAAAAAAAAAAAAAAAACACTTTATTACCTTTTTTTAATCTAAAACTTTCAAAGAGATGTTTTAGTTAAATATAGTATACATAATGGTGCACTTACATATCTGTATCAAGGATTGATAACCTATACTTACTTATAATATACAGTAGAACCCCGGTTAACCGAAACCAGGGTTTCCATAAAATATGTACCAGTATCCATAAAATGAAAATGGTACGGGGCTAAAATATGTTAAGTATGTAACCTCAGTAATTAAGTTTAAAGTATTTTTAAACCATTTTAACATTTTTGTTTTGGCATTGTTTTAAGTTCATTTTTCCTACACATTGTGGTAATACATATGCTATTTTTAGCATATTACGGGTTAACCGAAAAAATTGGTTATCCGGAACAGCTCTCTCCCCTTTACTTCGGTTAACCGGAGTTCTACTGTAATACTGTAATATAAAATCAAAAATCAGTTTACATGGTTCCCCTTTTTAACAGACTTTTTAAGGTTATTCGTCTAAAACCTCTCTTGAGAGTAGGTGAAAAGTGGGAGTTCTGATACAAAGAATAAAGCATGTAGACACTCACCTTGTGCACCTTGACAAGTTTGTGCAATTGGTGATCTGACATCCATTGTAGATCCTCCAGGATTCTTTCTGGGTCATTCTCCTTATATGTAGGGTCAGTAGACAGCAGCTGGGCTATCTTTGCCAACATGTCATCCTAGACAAGAAACATTCAGGTACATAATTTATATAAATATCCAGAAAAATTTAATTTTTTCAAAGACTTTTAAATTAAGTCTGCAGTGTTGTAATAGCCCATTGCTCATCTTACTGGCAACATAGAAACAGCCGTTCTACCGACAGAGAACCTGGACAGAATTTGATTGGGCACTAGTGCTCTCTATAGAGGAAAGTGCTTCGGCAAGTTCCACACCTTTGTCTGTGAAAGGAATCCCAGTAGCCTATTGCTTGACTTGTCCTAAATAACAAACCAATTGTATGTCCAATCGTGCTACATTTGAACAAAAATGTGCATAAATAATAAAGAATATATCTCAATCAGAAAAGCAGAGAGAATGAATGAATGAATGAATTATCTCTTTATTCCAACAAATTATTTACAGAATATGTACACAAATATTTAAAAGAAGAAAAAAAAACATAAATGAATTTAAAAGAATAAAATAAAATTAACCTTTACATTACATCTATGTAAGTGTTATTGTGAGAGTTTGAGGTGTGTGTGTTTCACTACCTGAAAAAAATGTCTATGACATAATAATAGTTACCTGGTAATGATATCGCAGAGTGAGAGGATGATTTGCCATCTTGCGCAGCCTCATCATAATTGTCATGGAGTTGATCTCTCGGCCAGTGTCGTCTCGAGCCTCTTCTAGAAGTTCTGCGTACTTAGCAGCTTGGTCTTCCTCCATCGCACATTTCACCACTGTTGATGTTTTAGTCGGCAGATCTTTAAGAACGTCCACCTACATTCAAAACAAAACCATTAAGTAAATCAAGGATTTTTACCAATGATTTAAATTAGTGACTTAGTTTGACTATCCATTGACTACCTAGTATATGAAGAAAAACACAGATTCATTTTTTACAATTTGTTAAATCTTTTCAAAATCAATGCTAGGACAAACAATTTTGATACTATCTATTATATTATTAAAGTGATACAATCAAATTTTATGTAAACGGTTAAGGTTATTTACCAAATAAAAATATAGGCATATGGCACTTCAAAATTAAGCTTAGAGTGTGTAGATTTGCTGAAAAGTATTGATATGGACAAATTTCCTAAGGGCTCTGCCCCACAGGCTGATTTCCAAAGGGCTACGCCTGGCATGCTTCCAATGTTTAAATGATTTAATTTAATTTAGTTAATGAAACAGCTGGTCAGTACAATGAACTGGCGTTTGTTTATTTACTCGATTAAGATGTTTGTGACGCTTTATGTAGATTGAGGAGGGTTATGTTTGGTTTAAAAGTGAGGTTGTATATAAGTTTTGTAAAGTATTGCTCAAAGTTTCATGTTTTAATTTATATAGTAAGCTACATGTGAAGAGGCTTGACTTAAATTGAAGAATTATGGTAAAACATGTAATTCATGAAGCATCAATATGAATCAATTGATGCTATTGCTACACTAAGGTATGTTGTCATAATCTTATGGATCTATTAACATCAAAAGTAAGGGTTTTAAAGTAAGTAGGTTTACACTTCTAAATCAGTTTATGTTTTCAAACTAAATCATAGAGTTGCTGTATTTTAAAACACACACCAGCACTACTTTAATAGCTCTCTAGGTCACATTTTCTTCCCGTTGCAAAGCACGGGTATAGCAGCTTGTATTCATCTAATTTGGAAGTCTACAAATTTTTTATCCGGAATTTGTGTTTTAAAACAAAAACTTTTAGTTGGAGTTGGGAGAGTTTGTTGAACATGAACATAAGTTTCATTGTGTGTTTTTGTGTGTTATACTTACATCATAACAACAATGTTTACCTTAAGCCTCCTTAAAATGAAGGGGTGAATGATTCGCTTGGCTCTCCGTACTTGTTCTTGCTCAAACAAAGGTGCATCCTCAATATTTTGTTTCTGAAAGTGACAATAGCATACAGATTTTTCTCGACAATCGGTCATCTTTAAGATTATTTAAAAGTTCAATACAAGCTAAGTGATAGACTAAGCGACACAAGTAGACTTCTCATCCCAATGTATATTTTGAAGCTTGTTTTTCTGTCTACTTCATGTACGGCGACGCTGATCGTGTAGATGATATTTTGTTTCTATTATTTAAGGGTTATTTTCATGATTTGTGCTTTACTGTTTGGTTATATCACAAGAAAACCAGTTATTGTTTATGATTAGAACGTTTTATTTGGTTAAATGAGGTTTTAAATGACTAAAATAACAAGAAACAAATTGCAAACAAAACACAACCTCTACAGTGTGACGTCACGCTGGTGGCACTGCCTACGAATTGACAGGCAAAGCTCTCTCAAAGGACTTAAAGCTTTTACCATGCGGTTGGCATTCTGGATTATAGTAGTATGTTTTCTGTGGTGACGTACAGAACTAACAATAAAATTGGCGTCATCTGTTCCATAAGGATGACAAATCTACTAAGGGAGTATATGTTATCTATGACTAAGCCTATGCATGCTTTGATGTGGCTTAACCCGACACAAACATGTAGGATTTAGGAAATGTCACATAATTCAGGATAGCTGTGATTATAATTGAATAGCTTCAGGTTGATTTGTTTGACCATCGAAACACTGAAATCAGCCAATAAATAGAAGAAGTAGTTTATAGGCCTATACATAACAGTGAACATTAAGGATATACTCAATTTTCAAGTTAATGATGGTATTAGAGATACTTACAGGATTTTTTGAAAATAGGAACTTGAGATTTTCAGATTTTCCAGAAAACATGTCAGGCATGACAAACACCAAGAGAGACATGAGTTCTAGTAGGTTGTTCTGTAGAGGCGTCCCAGTCAACAGTATTCTATGGAGGGCCTGGACAATACACATCATGTATCAGGCCAAGTAGCTCATGAAGGAACACAACAACTTTACCCCAAACACAATGATTAGAATATTTCACTGACGTTTTCACAGCATTTTCGTCTGATGAACGTTTCAGTTTAAAGTAAGATAATTCTTCATTGTTTTGTTTCTCGTGTCATAATCTTTCTCATTTAGTGTGCTATTCCAACATTATTTTTTTTGTTATATGTCTCTTTAGTTTTGAGTTTCATAATTCTGGTTGAAATGTCGAGTCGTCCAGTCATTTTTTATAAAAATTTCATAAGCTGCAGTAAATTTTTATTTTGTTAAGTTGCTGACACATAGTTATGTAAAATCAATCTAATTTCCAAATGTTAACCTATATCGTGCATAACATTGTTTTAAAATTGGTGTATCAAACACCGTTTGAGGACAAGAAGGACAAGAAAGAGGTAGAGTTCTAGCAAATACAGGAAGAACCATTTCTCAAAGATGTTTGAGGAAACATTGCGAAAGAAAAATATTCGGGGAGAAAGTTAAACTGAGGTTGGATTGTGTTAAGAAAGATCACAAAGGGTCAGCAGGAAAAAAGAGAATACAGTGAGGATTGAATTTCATAAAATTTTGTGTTAAAAGAAAATCATAGCCTTATTAATTTACTCTAATAATTATTTGTAATGTTTTCAACAAACTCACATTGATATTAATGAGATTCTCGTATCGCTGTGTGTTCATGTTTTTCAACATATGAGCTTCATCAAAGACGACATAGTGAAAATGTTTGACTCTGAACATTTTTCTCTCCTCGTAACAACTGCCAACCATGCTGTACCTGTAACAAAATAAAAAAAACTTTGGTTTGGTGGTTGTATCACTGACATAAAGTAATGAATTTAGTTTTTACATGTACTGTATAACCTCAATTATTTTAGTTAGTTGTGGAAAGGAGGATCTCGGACAGCTAAATAAAGTTCCAAGTTAAAAAAACAATTCAAATTTGTGCACAACTACACACTAGAACATAAATTATGGAACAAAGATTATAGTGATGTAAAAAATATGGGTTATTTGGAATTCAGATCGATCTTTTCAAATATGTAACACATTTCGATGGTATTACAAGATAAAACAAGTGTATGCACTTGACTTACGTAGTTAACACCACTTCCGTGTCGAGGAATCCATCCTTGAACCAGGCATGTCTCAGCCATCTTCTATCCTCAGGTGAGCCGTAGTACTGCTCCACCTTCAAGGAGGGACACCACTTCTCAAACTCTATACACCAATTCTCTGCGACAAATATCCACCATGACAAACAGGGAAAGGCAACCCTTGGTAAATTTAAAGTAAATCATCCCAAAATTTCAGGAATTTTCAAAAAAATATATTTTGATCTTTGGGTGCAATAACATAATCGACAATAATTATCAGGATTTTCTTGGTATTGGGATTTGTTACAACTGTAAGCGATTATGGCGTAATCACTAGTGACAATGATGTCTCCACAATTGCAGGAGATGTTCAACGCAATTTTTTTCATTTTTTTTTGTGAGACACGCTTGTTCAGATCATATAAAGATTTGTTTAGTCTATGCCAGGGGTGCCCAGAGGGGGGTACAGGAATTTTTGGGGGGGACTATTTTTAAGGGATTTTGGGGGGGATATTTAATTTTTGCTAGCTGTCATAATGGCTGTATAATTTTGTACAAGCAGTCCGAAAAAGTGTTTCTCACTAAAAGTAGCTCACTATCAACACCAACATTTTGCCGTTCGTAATTAAGATTGCTTCTAAGAATGGTAAAGCACCTTGTCAGACAACCCTTAACATACCAGTGTAGAATTTTACATGCTACATATGTTTTGTTGGTTCTTTAACTCCACCATAGTCAGGATTTACAAAAGATCCCCTTCTGGAGGTGTCGTCAGTATACGTTACAAACATTTAACACAAAACACGAAACGATTACAGATAGGCTTATCAATTCACGCGCGTACATTGCCGTCGGCAAGACTGGAAGTAAACTGAATCGGGTTCAGGTTATGACGGACCGACGTGGTCTCTGAATTGTCGTTTGCGTTTTCAACAGCTGATATTGGACTATTGTTATAGTGACTGAGAAGAGTATTGAAAATATAATGGCTTTCATAATTAATTGAGTGTTTTCACTCAAAAATGTTGTGCTGTCCCCAATTTTATGTATTCATATATTTCAAACTCCTCAAAGTATTTAAAAATTTCCTTTCGTGCAGTACTATAGAATTTCGAGACCATCATTTATATCCAGCATATAAATTGGTTATTATTGTCAATAGTTTTGAATGGAAAACTCAATTATGAATCCCGTTATATTTTCAACATACTCCGTCACTACAATTAGTCCAATATCAGCTTTTGATAACGCAGACGACAATCCAGAGGACCACGTCTTTCCGTCATAACCTGATTCAGTTTACTTCCAGTCCTTCCCGCGGCAATATACACGCGTGGATTGATAGGCCTATCTGTTATCGTTTCGTGTTTTGTGTACAAACGGATTGTCTGACAAAATACGTTCCTACCATTTTAGTCATAAAAGGCAATCCTGGGGCTATCAAAATGAATTATAAGATTACTTCGTCACAAAAACCTTTTGTTCTGGTAACATGGTATTTTGCCCGGCGATTTTTGTAGAAGGCAGCCTGGAAGTGGCGAGCAACAAGTCTGACTTATTTCGTGACTCTGCCTATAATTTTGAAACAATTAAGATACTTTTTGCCAAAGTATTATTAATACACTTAAAGCTGTTTGAATTCTTAATACCCTCTAAACATTAAATCCACCTAATATATTGTACAGTTACAGTACTGTGTTGGAGTAGAGTAATTCACCGAGTATAGGCCTATTGTTGAACGTGTTGAAGACGTTGTCTATAGCAATACTGAGCACATGTTGGCTGACAATACTAATTCGGAATTTTGTAAATTGAAAAACTTCTAATTCAACCATTACTTAGATATGTATTGTTAAATGACGTTTCATATTAAACATTTAATTTTGATTCTCAATCAGCAAGTTTGGTTTTTGTACCTCAAGTTTACTAAATACTTTAAATACTCGTTTAATGAGGTAAAGGGAAATTGTCAGATAAATTGGTGGGGGAGGGTAGGTTTAAATAGACGACAACATAAATTGGGGGGACTACTCCTTTGGCTTGGGGGGGGGATTGCGCCTCTGGGTTTAGGGGGGATGGGCACCTCTGGTCTATGCTACAAGTTCTAAGGTATTAAAGACGTTTTTTACTGTTTTTGAAACACTCTATTGTGATCCAAATTCATTAAAGATTTTTTTGGAGTGTCAAAGCTGCACGTTACATACCTAGCGTGGATGCAGGAACCACGATTAGATGAGGACTGTTGGCCTCGGTCTGGCCTGTCTCTTTGAGATGTGCCAGGAAGGCAATCACTTGGATAGTCTTGCCCAGACCCATCTCATCTGCCAGGATACCACTGAGCCTCTGCAGGTTCATCACATTCAGCCAGTTCAGTCCTACCATCTGGTACGGCATCAGTTTTAACCTAGAACATATCAGCTAATGTTACACACACAGTCTTGCCCAGACCCATCTCATCTGCCAGGATACCACTGAGCCTCTGCAGGTTTATCACATTCAGCCAGTTCAGTCCTACCATCTGGTACGGCATCAGTTTTAACCTAGAACATTGCAGCTACATGTTACACACAGTCTTGCTCAGACCCATCTCGTCTGCCAGGATACCACTGAGCCTCTGCAGGTTCATCACATTCAGCCAGTTCAGTCCTACCATCTGGTACGGCATCAGTTTTAACCTAGAACATTGCAGCTACATGTTACACACAGTCTTGCCCAGACCCATCTCGTCTGCCAGGATACCACTGAGCCTCTGTAGATTCATCACTGATTCATAACTAAAGTATGTATTTAAAAATGTAAATACCCCTGTTGCAGCAAGCTTTCAGACCAAGCGAATTTTCATTTGCCCGATTTGATTTTTAATTAAATTTATTTCAATAACATTACATTTAACGAGTACCTACGTTTGCTGCTACAGGGAGCAAAGTGTGTTAAAGTATGTTTTTTTAGAAAATATAAATAGTTAAATTTGCCATTTTTGATTAAAATATATCCATAAACAAGCAAACTACAACAGTTTACTTATTCATAAGAATAACATGGGAATTTTAAATTTAAAATTTTTTAATATTCTCTGTAACCAATAACCCGTACAAAAACACTTCAAGATACTAGATTATTTGTTTTTTTAAGCTGTTCGACCTTGATTTCATTTTTATTTTTTATTTTTATCCTTGGTTTAAAAAAATCATAGGCCTATGTAAGTATGATTTATGTTTACTATCAACATAGTCAATAAGTCAAAGGCCTATATTAAAACTAACTACATAAATTTTACCGTATGATTTTACAATGCTAAGATCATTTGTTAGTTCAAACAACTTTTAAGAAACGCATACACCAAAGCACCTAATTACATTTCATTACTGGTTATCGGTAGTAAACTATTCAACCTCAACTAACACTTTTTTCAGTGTTTCAGAAATTAGACAAATTCTATGCTAGACAAACTTATCTACCAAGTTATCTAGTAAACTGGTATTACTCTGGATTGAGGATGGAAGGCTGTTGAGTAATACTGTGAGAGCCGGCTGCGATTGCGTTCTCTGTGCGTTGTGCGATCTTTTCACACTTGCGCATCAAGTAGGACACAGCCCCCCGAGCCTCCAACACTTGCTGTGCTCCGTTCAACAGATTAGTGCTCAGGAACTTCTCTGTTTGGAACTTAGTCACCTACAGAACATAATACATAAAATCAAACTATAGTTTATTTGAGATTAAGGGTGTAGCATAGAGCACAAGGGCCTAGATTTTTAGGATTTTTTTGAGAGGATAGCAGGCTTACCTGAATGGGAAAGAGTCCAAACTGGCACAGGAACACAAAACTTTACACTATATACACAAAATATTAGAATATTTCACTGTCACTGACAGCATTTTCAACTAAGGAAGAGAGAGTTTTCTAGATGTCCAAAATGGTGGCCAGTGAGCAATGGTTTACTAAGTCTAGACAACCCCCAAACCTAAACCTAAGATAATACCTTTCATCTAACCCACTCCACTTCAACATCCAACCCAACTAGCAGGCTTACATATTTATTCATATATATATATATATATATATATATATATATATATATATATATATATATATATATAGTGCATATAAGATAAACTGAAACTGTGTTTTTTTTTAAATTCATACTATTGGCAACACTGACTCAACAACTCACTGGCCACCATTTTGGACATCTAGAAAACTCTCTCTTTCTTAGTTGAAAATGCTGTCAGTGACAGTGATATATTCTAATGTTTTGTGTATATAGTGTAATGTTTTGTGTTCCTGTTCCAGTTTGGACTCTTTCCCATTCAGGTAAGCCTGCTATCCTCTCAAAAAATCCTATAGTTTATTTGATTATTTTTTAAACAAAAATAGTCATGTACTTCCAGTGAAACAAAATGTCCCTTAACACGTTGACTGCGCGTGCCGACTTTAGTCGGCGTCGCCAGCACCAGACCAGCAGAAATATATTGAGTCAGTGTGAGCTTAGCCTCAGACGGAGACGTTATAATCGTTGCCAGCCTGCCAGCTTAGAATGCGAGCTTTAGGCTACTTTGGTGTAGGTTGGTACTAAAATTTCCCGTAAATTCCTGTCTGGCAATGCTTTTGTCCCGGTTTCGGGTATTTTTTCTCTTCAACCCACATTACAAAGACACTGGATAGGGATCCATGCAGTTCTGCTACCTTTGGGTGTTTCAGTGAACTACATCCACTCTCGGGGTAACGCAGCACAGTCACCACTGCTCTTTTGTGATTCGTCAGACTGAAATATTTGAATGCCAATTGCGTTCGCTGATTCGGTTGCGCGCCGGGGCTTCGCCCGCCACTGGAGAGCGCCTGTAAAGTCGGCGCGCGCAGTCAACGTGTTAACCATTAAAAATAATATCCTTACCGGGATGAATAAAAAATAATGGTGCAAATATAAACAGGTGTATTTCAGGTTTACGTTAATTAACACAGCTGTTCATGCCAACAATAAAAGAGCATGTTTACATATTAAATGGCTACAAAGAATAAAAAAATATATGTATTGGAGATCACTCAAACCGAAGCTGAACATAAAAAAAAACACAGAAATGTTAGTTTTTTTATAATTTTGTTATTTTTGTAATTGTTGTTGGATTTTGTAATTTCGTGAGCAAGTTTCTCTGAACAGTTACAATGGCTCCAGTAATGGCTCACAAACTCTGACACACAAAACTATGTTTTTTTTAACCAAAGATGTTCAAAAATTCACTTATCAATGTTGATAAAATAGATATATAAGGTTGTGTCAAAGAAGCAAAATAGTCTAAATTAGATTTAGGTCTTTAAAACTATTACAAAGACAATTAAAATATTCAAACAATTATGGTAGGCCTACTAAAATTTATTCTTCATTAGTAGGCTTTTGCGGCCAGTGTTTTACAACCCTTAGTGGATTTTGATATCAAATGAGACTTCAGTTGGAGATCGCTCCAGATATTTCACCCTGTAAAGAGACATCTTCAGTGACCCAGCTAAGACAGTTCCGTCTGACAAAGCGGTTGACACCTAACATCACTGTGTAAAGGTGCATTGTCCCTGAAGCGACTCTTGCGATAGTAGCTGAGCGATAGTAGCTTAGCGATAGTAGCTGAGCACTGGTGAGCGTTGTTTTAAATGGGACCATTGTCCTTGACGCGACTGCGACTGGAGCGGCTAGCGGCTGAACACAGCGACTGTAGCGGGTCTGCTCTGAGGGGAGTCAGAGTCGCAGTCGCTGAGCGATTTGTGTTGTGTATAGACTTGTTTTGGTCGTATTATAAATTATAAATGAAAATAATTTTAAAAAATGCAACGTTTTTAAACGCACTATAAAGTAAAAAAATAGTTTATAAATATGTGGGGAGAATAAATACTTGAAGGATTAAAAAAAACGTTGGTTGCATGCTGATTTACAATTATCTTAACCTATTGAACTATTATTATCTATTGCATGCACCCCACGTTTTTCGTTTTAAATCTTTTAAGTATTTATTCCCTCCACATATTTATAAATTATTTTTACTTTTTAGTGCGTTTAAAAACGTGGCATTAACATTTTTTTATATTTATAATTTATTTTCTACTTCTTAGTCTTTGATGTGTAAATATGTTAAATCTATTTTATATGGCCTGTTAATACATACCAAACCCTTATTATCTGTAGTCATATGTTTTATATTTCCTTTGAACTGCTTATTTTATATTTAGAATCTCTCGGGAGCAGAACCTGTACCTCTACCCAAGCTTTTCGACCTGTCAAATTTAGGTATTTACGGCTGACTTCAAAATGTAAACATGGAAAATTTGGAAGCCCATGGGGCTTAGCCCAAGGAAAATATGAAAATTAAATGATATCGTATTAAATTGTGATCCATTTGTGAGCTGTGTTCTCTAGTTTCATTTCTCTAGCTCGTCGGGAAGTTAGTTTAAAATTTATTGCAAAGTTTGTGCCGGACAAGAAAGCGAGCTAATAAAAACCTCTTAAAATTAGGAGGTGTCATGGCACTCATAACACCAATTCACTCGAAAGTCAGCAAACTAATATACAGAATCGCTCTAGAACAATCGCTTCAGGGACAATGACATGGTTAGCTACTATCGCTGAGCTACTATCGCTGAGCTACTGTCGCTCAGCTACTATCGCAAGAGTCGCTTCAGGGACAATGCACCTTAAGCCTACTTCAAGGAATTTCTACAAAGTTGAGATGCATACTAGGTCTTTCCAGCCGTTAAAAGGCCTAAACTTCTGAATGGCTTCTAACTTCTTGACTGTCACAGATGGCACAAGCTTCAGCTCCCCTTCGGTGGCCGTGTTGAAGAAGTTGAAGACTTTACTCTGAGACTCGGTCATCTCTCCTGAAATCTCCTCATCTGTGTCCGCATCACTGTCCAAGACAAAGTAATAGGATTATACACAACTATTTATTACGATTGTACAGTTATCTTTTATAGGTAAAAATGCTTTTACGCACACAGGTGGCCAGTAGTCATTAGTTGATACTCCTGAATTGATCAGACTGCTCACTAAAAAAACACCTCTACTCTAAGGCAAGATGTAAGCAAAGCTATCAGGGCTCAGTTTTTGGCATTTAATTATTTTATGACCTGGACCGCATCCTGGTCAAGGTCAAACTTATTGGCATGGAGAATAAGCCTGTGAACCCTAGATGAAATGTAACACACAGGTCTAATGGTCCTAACCCTCAGTCATGATCGGGATTTTACAGTTGAATATGCTTAGTTGAACGTTATTTATAAAACTCTGTAATTCTTAGACCTTTAACAATCGTTGTTGAAACAATGAGGGTGGTTAAAACTCTTGTTGAATGGTTTTCATTATTTTAGAAGCATTAAAGATTTAAAAATAGGAATCAACAACATCAGTATGGAACAAAAAAGTTACATTGAGACCGTGTTCAGAAGTATCTCTCAATTATACAAGCTTTGGCTTAATCTGACCTTAAGTATTATTCCATCCCCATGTTAAATTTGTAGCCAGCTTTTTTATCAAAATCGTCGTAGTTTATGTGAGCCACCTAAAGATTTCGCTGATCTAAATTACTAAATTCTGCCGAATACACAATCTTTTTAACCAAGTCAAACATAGGGAATGACTTATGATGAGTTATAGCAACTGTTATGACCCATCAACTTGGTCAGCAACAAAAAATAACATATAAAATAGAATTTTAGACACTGTGATTGGCTCACACAACTACATTATTTTTTAATAAAAAATTGGCTACAGCTGGTCCATATAGATGGGAAGTCTACTTCGGTATCCAATAGTCAATGGTATTGTTCAACCCTGCCAATAAACGAACAAGACCTAAAGCACCGTTAGATTGGTGTTTTAAAATAATTAACCAACAATAATTAATTTTACAAACCTGTCAAACACTCTGGGCCCTCGTGAGTTCTCATCTTCTGAATCTGAATTAATCTTTTTTCTCTTTCTTCTTCTTTTAGCTAAGGTAAAACATAAATCATTGCAAATGTCATTGGTATATTGAGCTTAAAAATACTTAAAATATCAAGTTTAAGGAAACCTCATTTTCTAAGTCCAGTAAAACAGTTTAGAGACATTTTTAGAGGTAAAAGAAACTATATTTGGTTCCAATTTTATTTTTTGCAAAATCTTGTTAGGCATGTATTTTTTATATTTTTTATTTCAATCTCTTTTGTTAAACAAGGAAACTGTTATAAAAACCTAAATGAGGTCTGAATGGATAAATATGTTGGATCACAGGACTTTAACATAATGAAGTTATTGTCATTGAAATATTACCGTTAACAGCTAAAACTTCAATATTTGAAGAAAATTATAATATGAAATCGGGAATTTACCTTTTGGTCTAGGCGATTCTGAGGTAGCTTTCCGTTTGCCGTTTACTTGGGGTTCAGCTTGGGTTTCCTGTTGCTTTTGTGTAGTCTCGACATTTGGTTTAGTTTCTGAATCACTACCGATGATTTCTACACTGTTGCTGTCGTCATCCACGATAAAGATTTCTGGTTCTTTCTGTAACACGGGAAAAGTACCTGCCTAGTGTATTAATTCACAAGGACTAACTTAAACTTAACTAAAACTTATTGTTGTCTAACATACTTCATAAAGCTCAAAATAGTCACAAAGTTTTAATCTACCAGTATCTAGAGTTGGAAAACACATTAAAAATTACCAATTTAAAACAGTTAAATATGTTGGAAGATATAAATAGAATACTGACCTTAAAACTAGTGTCCTCGGAACAAAAAGAATTCTGGTTGTTTGCTGAAACATCAGAAAACAGTGAAAAGTTGACTAAAAGTTATGTTTCCAAAACTGGAAGTTCTAATGAAGTTTTATTAAATTTCTAGGCCTAGTTTTTATTTATTAAAAACTATTAAAACACAATAAATTGAGATGGTCTAAATTTAAAACATCTTCTTACGATAAGGAGAGATTAAATTTATTGATGAAGCTAATATCCCGAAAATGGTCTGTTATTTTGTGATGGTTTAAAACTGGGCACAGCTTTCCTTCATTGGGATCCCTGGGCTTACTAAAAATGATTCCGACACAAAAAATCACCTGATCTTACCAACAATTCTGTGCAAGGCATCACTCATTCCAAGCTCATAATTCATTAAAAAAACTTACCTAAACATCTAATTGATTCACCTCTTTGATGTAGGCAATACATAATCATTGCTAATATGACAGAAGTGTATTTTCATTCATGTTATCAAATAAACATGTAAAGGTTGATTTCAAACATGTTCAGAAACATAGATTCATTGTTGCACCCATGATTGATAAATAATTTTAAGTTTAAACCAACATGCCTTCGTTGTCTAACACTATTAAGTACGGTAGCCTATTAGATTGTTAGCTTCAGATTATTATTGTTCCTTTTTAAAATGTATAAGATCGTCAAAATAGTCAGACACATGTCATTAAGAAACAAATTTAAACGTATCTAGGTATATTGTTAAAAGAATGTGTTGGATTTTTGTATTCAGCAAATCAACCAGAAAATATGTATTTTTATATTCATATTGGGCACTAATTTAAAGCTCTTATACTCTAGATGTGCCTTTTGCAGGTTTGGATGATATCCCGTGAAAGCCCTTCGTCCTATAGGCTTTTAAAATTTCAGAGTTTGTGCTGGAATCTGTTGTCAATCATCTGAACTTTTTTAAGTTTACATTTGTTTACGGTACATCAAAACAGTGGAATATGAACATAGTGTCTACAACGTTAAAAAGCACAATCTTTGGTCCCAATAAGACAATAACCTGCTTTTCAGTTACCGGTACTTGAACATGAGGTAATCGGGCAACACTTTTTGTGCCACTTGACTTTATGATCCCCTTGTAAAATCATTGACTTTTTCCTAACTTCAATGATGTCTGTGACCGGTAGACACCCTGATTAAATGCAAGTAAAACTATTACAAGGCTATCCAAAAGCATTTAAGTCGAGTGTCGAGACACTTAATGCATTATCATGTCAAGCAAGTGCATAATGGACCAGTTTATTTCTATCAAAACCATACTTTATCAAACATATACGGTACCACAGCAAACAAAACCTGGACGTATCAGTAAAAAATGAAAACTAATCCTAATTGTAATATCTTTTACTCACAATTAACTGGAGGATCATCATCATCGTCAGACAAGATGATAGGACGTGGAGTTCGAGACCGAGGGTTAGATACAAAGATAACATCATCATCATCATCTTCCTCCACTGGAACGGACTGACCGTTCTTATCCTCATTCTCATCTTCAGAGTCGGATATCGCGTGAGTAACTCTATCTTCCTGCTTAACACTCACCACCTCGCTAACAGTAATATTTTTCAGCCTTTTACCAACACCTAGATTCTTCCAAACACTTTCCATATTGTTTGCAGCATCACTCTGATTTTCTGAATTGATCATGTTTCCGTTGCCGATCTGAACAGGTTTGATGACAGAGTCTGTGTCTGTGCTGGATCCTGCGTAGGAATCAGTGTCTGTCTCTTGGCTTTGCTCGCTCTGTTGTGCTGGAAAAAATATGGTAGGGAAGATAGTAGCCAGACAGAGATAGGTTGGGGGGTAAAATACTGGTAAAATACAGTAGTCTAAGGTATAAGGCTTAGCAATACTGTACACCAAGTCCTCACTATTACCATTACCATTACCAACTCCTAGGTCGTTGCCCAACACTTGTTGGATAGACTGCGTCAAATAAAATTTTAAAGTAATAAAACTAACAAAAAATAACATTCTTGTTTAACACGTTCGCTACTGCAATAGTACAAAATTTTTCATTCACATGGACCAGCGACGCACATATGCGACGGCCGGTTTCCACTCATAGACTGCCGTCGCATATATGCGACGGTTAGTCACATTAAAATAGACTGCCGTCGCATATTTGCGTCGGGGTTCTAATGTTATTAAAATGCTTATATCTTTGTAACGGTCTATTTGAAGGCACTGAATTCCCTGAAGTGGTCTACAGAGATGTCTGACTCACAACTGTGTCGCTTCGTCTGTGGACATGATGACTGGTGACGTCATAATGATAGTTGGAAAAACTGGTCTTTACTTTTCTGCATCCCTGTGTGTATGTATGCTGCATTATCCTATGTAGCTTTTATATTTGTTCAGTTATAAACTGTTCTTGAATAATCTGTTTTGTTTACATTACTTTCACCTCAAAACACAAACAAAAATGAACTGTCGCATAAATGCGACGTTTAGTCTATTTCAAGAAAACGATGATAATTTTCACTATTGTCATCGCTGTAGACCGGGCGTCGCAAATATACGACATTATGTAATCAACCTTAAAGTTAAGAATATAATGGAAACTCCATGTACAGTATTGAAACTTAAATTTATTTAATTAAAATACGAAATTTATGGTAAAAGAAAAGAAAGGGTTCACAATAAAGTTTACAAAGAGTGGGAATGAATTTACTGGCTAAGCCTATTACAATAGTTCTAATTTAGGTTCAGGTGTTATAACTTATTGCATGGATCTTTATCTCAGGTGGGGTGATCGAGCGGCGTTTGAATTAATCTTGTAATTATATATAGCCTAATAAAATTTTGTTTAGAAATATAAATTATATTCGAATTATTTTCTGTGTGGTTGAATTAATTAAAGTTCTGAATAAGCTTCTATTAGTTTCTTGACTTTGAATGTTAGTATTTAAATGTTCCAAAAATTAGGCCTAAAAATGTTCTAATGGCTTCCAAGGAAAAAAAATGTCTACTGGAGTGATCTCACCAAAAATTTATGTCTTCTTCATGGTAAATTTCTTGATGTAGTAATTATTAATGTTCTTAACAAGGACGGTTCATCTTCAATCGAATTTCACTAATTTAGGTTCAAATATAGGCACTTTTTTTATAAATTTTGATATTAAAATAGACAGTTTACAATTTATATCTTCATACTAGCTCAGCTCTCATGGAAGTGATCCAGGTTTGATGCATTGTTGCACTCACATATGTCAATGCTGACTTAATCACAGAAAATTGTAGGCCACAAGTTCACACATACAGTATATTATAACAATTGTAATTTGCTAGAGAGCTAAATTTTAATTTTGAAAAGTTATTTAAATAAAATTATATTGAATTTGAAGCAATATTGTTACAAAAAATTATAGGCTATTATATATTTACATGAAATTAGGTTATTTGAAAATTTTCTATATTACATTGTATTGAATCAATTACCTATTGGTCTGTTTGGCTATATATTATACAAGATTTGATAAAGGGAGATGAATTGACATATTGATAAAAATAAAACATATGGTAAAAATTTTAGCGAATTTCCCATATAGGGAATAAGCTATTACCGTAGTACTCATGGTAAGACCTGGACGCGGGACCGATTTTTTTTTTTCGTTTTGAGGTCCCTAGAGGCCAAAAACACCATTCGTTCAAATTCATATATATATATATATATTTATATATTTATATATTTATATATATATATATATGTGTGTGTGTCCGTTAGCACGATAACTCGAGCAAAAATGATCCGATTTTGATGAAATTTGGTACAAACGTGTAAACCTACGTTTATTCGAACGAGTTCGCGATCCAGCATGATCGGACCATGGGAACGGGGGTTTATGGGGGGTTTTATGGGGTAAAAATAGGTTTTTCCCATTTTTGACTCAAAAAACATAAAATTTTGCAATTTCTTTCCAAACCATTTTGTAGAGCTTAAAAAAACAAATAATTTAGTATATTTAAGCGTTATTATGCGCCTAATGGTTACGGAGAAAATTTCAAAAAATTGTAAATTTAAAATTCCCATGTTATTCTTATGGAGAATAAGTAAACTGTTGTAGTTTGCTTGTTTATGAACATATTTTGATCAAATTTGGAAAAATTTTTATTTCTAACTAACTATTAACATTTTACAAAAAAAAAACAGTTTTACCCTCCCAGATGCAGCAAACCTAAGTACTTTTTAAACTAATTCTATTTAAATCGGGAATAAATGTTATATTTTTAAGTAGACATTTCAGTGTAAATCCAATCAGTCAAATGGAAATTCGCTTAGTCTGCAGGTTTGCTGCGGCGGGGGTATTAAATTATTCTATTGAAAATATCAGTAAAAATATTGAATTGTTACAATTACAAAAAATTATAAAAAATACAAAAAAACAAAAATAAATTATTTACAAACACGATTGTAGCGTATTACGATGTAAATGATCACTGTTTTACAGGTTTTTGCCCGTAGTCTGTGTGTACTGTTAACCAAGTGACAGCCGGTCTATGCGAATGTATATTCGAAGATTCGAATGTATACCTCGGTCTGTGGCAATGACCGCGGCGTCGCATATATGCGACGCTCAGTAGCGAACGTGTTAACCAATATTTACAAATAGAAAAACTAGTGATGGCGGTGCATTATATAGTTTCAGTTTAAGTGTGTATTTGCAATACAAAATTGTAGACACTGTAATTTTTGTGTTAAAAATAATTTCAGTGTTTAGTTAAAAACTGAAATAACTAGGTATTAAAAACCAGTACTGTAATATTATCAGGTATGGTAACATCATTTTTGTATATAATACAGGTTATAGGCTGTTTATGTTTTTTTTGTTTTTTTTTTTAAGACAAGCACTTTATGTTTGTTATATATTTATATATCATTTGGGTACCCGATGATGGCCTAAACATTTGTTTTTGACAATAAAAATGTCTGATTTTTGATTCTGATATAGGCCAAGACGTCAACGGTCTACACTGAATTCCACATTCATTCTGCAGTTACAAGATCAGAGGAGTATAGTGGTGCTATTCACATTACTGTTTGAAAACATGTTTATTGTTGTGTTAGTTGTATTGTCTTCACGACCCTGGTGATAAGTAGGGCTACATGCCACTAATTTTAGTAACTGTTTGCATTCTATTTAGATGTGATTTTTACCTATCTTAATAAATACGTTTTTAATTTTGGTAAATTCTAAATGAATGTAGTAAAAAAGCGCAAGAATAAAGGAAAAACATAACAGGCCTTCTGGCAGGTTCTGATGTTTTAACCCTTTCCGCTCGTACCTATGTCGCGGTGGCCGCGACATCCATTTTTGACGCTTCCACTCGAATGTCGCGGCTGCCGCGACATTGTTTTAAACGACTCTAAACTCACTTTATATAGTGCAGAAATGTTTAAAATGATAAGAAAGACTGATCAATGGTTTTCTCAATTTATTCTAGCTGCCCTTGGATCAAAGAAAACAACCACGAACGATTTAGTTGGCTTTGAAATAAGTTTGGTTCGTTTTGTGTTTGTTTACTTGAACGTCTGCTTCTGCTAGTTTATATTCTTTGTTCGCAGCGACTGTTATCGCGATTTTTATATTATATTTTACTTGTTTTGGGTAACTATTGTTTAGTAAACATTTTTCAGTGGTTAATTACCGATAATTTAGTAAAGTGAACGGGTAATTTTGTTTATTTCACGTTAAAATGGATGACAAACTTTCTTTGTCAGACTCCTTGACCAGTAAATTATTTGAAATGAAAATTATATTTTTGGTTTAGTATAACAATCTCGGTGTATTTATATTTTCGGTTTATATGAATAAATAGGCCTACAGATAAATACTGTTCATCTCAGTTTACTAATCCTGTTTGAAAATTATAGGCAAAAGAACTAAGAAACAGAAGTCGCCGTGGAAACCAAAAATTCCAAAAACTCAAATTTTAGAAATTTACATATTTTATTCATAATAATACAAGTAAATGTTTATGTAATTGATATTTTTTGTTTGTTTTTACATAAGGAATGTAAATAATATTTTTTCAATACTCTAAAAAAAGTTTTATATTTTTATTTTGCCTAAATATATGGATTTTGTAAAAATTTATTTTGCTTTTGTTTATTTATGACCATACCAAAAATAAAATTTTAAAACTAAAATTGTAATTTTATGTTTATATTGTATAATAATTTATGCTGAAATAAGAATCAATAGCTCAACCTTATTAAATAACTAATATTAGATTAAAAAAACACTAAAAACCAAAAACATGCCATTTTTCTTTAAATTAAATGCAAGTGTGAGGGAACAGCCATGCAAAATAATTCGAGTGGAAAGGGTTAAGGACTGGTAGTGTCGCTGAAACTCCCAATCAAAATGCACAGAATGCAAAGTTAGCCTACATTACTCCATCAATCCTATAATTAGTCTTTGGCATCTACTTTTGAAACAGTCATATCATTGTCTATTATAAAATTGGCCTCATAAAATTATTGGGATCTTGGAAAACATAAACGGACACAGACACAAAACATTAATTATTAACAAAAACGAATGTGCGGCCGTCACAGATTATGACAAATCAATATATAAACATATAGGTACTTTCAAACATTCATGATACAAACTTATACCAAAAACTAAGTTATCAGCTACGTTTTTCGATTGACATTGTAAGAACATTAACTCAGATCTTAATTGGCTATCAGCCTGACGTGAATGTATGAACACAATATTTTAACAAAAATATGGTTTCTGATAGGTAGTTATAAACCAAATAAATAATAAGTTGTATGTAGCGTATTTAAAACATTTTACTTACATAGAGAATCATTATTATTAAATTGAACCTTCCTCTGGAACCTATATCTCATCAGACTGTTTAAAATACTCGGACTAGACTGAGACATCTTTTAGCTTATCAAAATAAAAACAGAAAAGATGTTTAACTGAAAAAGAAACAAAACACAAATTAGTAACAAACTAAAAAGAATCAAAACACAAATTAGTAACAAGCTAAAAAGAACCAAATAATAAGTAGGCCTACTGTAAACCGGGGTGAAGATGAAAACTTTTTCAGGTTTTTCTTGAATAGGGCTAACTTTCTTGTTAAATAAGATATCAATATATTGTATTTGTTGTTTTATAAAAAGACTCATAGTATTATAATAACTTAAGTTTAAAAAAAATAAATACAAAAAATCTAACTTAAAAAAAATAAATTATACCTGTTCATGTTCACCCCGGATTTAAGATGAACACCCTATACATTTTACACTCAATGTATTTTTGCTCTAGTGTTCATTTTTACCCCACATCTGAAAAGAGCATAAAAAACTGAACATAATAAAGTCATTTTAAGGTAAAAAAACAATTTTTTTTGTTTTTGACAAATTGGATTTAGGGAGACATATTTTTTTATAAAAAAACATGGTCGCTTAAAATAGTTTTTTTTTTTAACACACCAATTGGGTTATGATTGTTATGGTATGTGTTTTAAGTTATGTAGACAAAAAGATGCTGATTCATAAAATTTTTTTATTAATTTAATTTTTTATGATTTCTTATAAAAAAAAAATATAATAAACATTTTCCGAGTTTTGTTTATCTTCACCCCGGTTTACGGTAAGATAAAAGCAACGTTTGTATGAATAAAATAAGTTAGTTAACTTAGGCCTAGGCTACTTAAGTTGGCTGCACTTTACTTTAGGTCCTACACTCATTTTAATAAAAATATCAATTGATATATCGATTGTGTCATTCGATATATCATTTGGTTAGTTAGGTATGGTTAACCTAACCTAACTAACCAAATGATATATCCAATGATCAATATTTTTATTCGAATGAGTGTAGGACCTAAAGTAAAGTGCAGCCTTGAAAGTACTGTAACTTTACTTTTTAAGTGTATTTCTGTACAAAGCTTCATACAAAAGGTTAATTTTCTAAGGTCAAAAATCTACCAAATAAAAAAAATGAAAAGCACTGCGTAAAAGACCTTGCGTAGGTTAACTTAGGCCTAATTATTCTTGCTTGACTGAAAATAACTTTAAGTCTAATACTAAACTGTTGACTAACGACTTAAGTTACTTAACTTACCTATATCTTGAACCAAAACAAGTTAATTGGACTAGGGTACTTTTCAGCAGAAGAGATTAAACTTAAGTTACCGTACTGTACTGACAGGATGATTGTCAACCGATGTCCAGAATAGCTTTGATGTATGTAGGTTACATAATCATAATCTTCTTCACCTATTAACTGACTATGTGCTAATCACTGATTGTGATTTTTGCCTTAAAAACAGCCAACTGACGATCAATGGTCTAATTTGTATCCCGCTTCCTCTATCCTACTTCAACTTATTCACGTTTAGGTCCTAGTTGCAGGATTTTGTCAGTTAGATATTATTGTTGCCTACCTACCTTAGGGGCAACTTAAGTTACTGCATGTGTATGGCCCCTTGGCCACATTAACTTACTATTATCAACAACACAGCCTAACTTATGCCTAATCTCTTTTGTAATCATTGGGTTTAAAAATAATAAAAATTTAATCTATGCCCGGGTCTAGGGTGTTAACTATTACACTTATTTCATTAAGTGGCTGCACTTTACTTTACGTCCTACACTCATTTGAATGAAACAACCGAATGAGAATATTGATTTATCGATTTTATCATTCGATATATCGTTTGGTTAGTTAGGGTAGGTTAACCTTACCTAACTAACCAAATGATATAGCCTATCGAATAATCGATAAGTAAAGTGCAGCCCATTGTGTAAGTTTACCCTTCAAATAAAGGCCCTAACTTAGCCTAAAATTTTACAAAAAATAAAAGTAAGGTACTTATTTTAGTTAACTTTATAAGTTAACATTATTTCTAGTCAGAAAATAATAGGAATATGTATTTGGGCTAGGCCAACCAGTTTGTATGCATTGCTTAGGTCAAGTAGGCAAATAATCAGTAAAGTTGGCCCCATTTAAGTTAGACACAAATTAGGCTACTATTTTATTTAGTTTAACTTACCGGTTGAGCGTTTGAGAAGGAATCGATAAACTAGACTTATTAAAAATTAATTAAAATAATTAACAAATGAAGGCAGTGGGGCCGTTTGTCACAATATTATTATTTTACGGGTACAATTTGTTGTAAGTTATGGTTTAGTTTTTCATCCAAGGGCCTAGCAGAAGCTAAGCAGTCTTTTAGTGTCAGAGTCTCCTCCTCAGAGCAGACTGGCCGACTGCAGAATCAGAATAGAATCGCTCGAAAGGCGGCCGTGCCTCAGTACAGGACAAGACGGGACCGACGGGACTCAGCAGGAACAACAAGCACGGCCGCCTTTAACCACGGCCTCCTTTAACTACCAACAAGCGTCTACAGCCTGACTGATCACCTATTGCAAACGAAAAAAACTGGCCAGTAGCCAGTGAAGAAGAAGAATCAATTTTTGTCTGCTTGATTTTATGACGTAGACGTGACGTATCGTTCTAGCTGTCGGCTCGGCTGTGTTTTGGTTTAGCTGTTTGTTTCCAAGTTTCAATTCTAGTGTAGTTATTTTGTTTTTATCAATTTCATTGCAATTATTCATTTTGTTTACATGTAATGATTAAAAAGAAGTTATTTTTCTTGTGATATTTATTTATGATCGCTGGACATGTAGATGTTGTGATATTTACGTTTTGTTATCCTATTGTGTAGTATTTTGTAAAATATTAATCTTGTAGGTAGTGTCATAAATTTTTACTGTATAAATTAAAATCCATTTCTGTGAATAAATAGCATGTTTACTAAACTTTATAAAACGTACTTTTATCCTTTTGTAATTTTGCCCCTTTAACTTAATGTTTTTTAGTGTATGCCTAAATGCCTACTCAATTTTTACATTTTATTCTCAATGAAAATTAAAAGAAACCATTAGGCCTATATCTATCATGGTTAACCTTCCGGCCAAGCCTATTAATTCTTGTTCCTAAGCATTCTTTTACACTCCATAGCAAATATCCAAAAAAATTTAAATGGCTGTTGAGTCTTTCACCATATTATGCAATGATATTTTGAAGGTGGTGAAGCGGTTGCACTCACCCTGTGCGACTTGAGTAAAGCATTTGACTGTGTTTCTCACAAAATCCTGCTAGATAAACTCCATCATTATGGCATAAGAGGCACAGTCTTTGCTACACTCAGGTCTTACCTTGAGAACAGGCAACAATTTGTCACAGTGAAGGGAGTTAGCTCTAGTAAAAAGCTAATTGAGCATGGTGTCCCACAGGGCTCAGTACTTGGCCCCCTGTTCTTTCTTGTCATGATAAATGACCTTGGAAATGATATTAACTGCCTTTTATTTGCTGATGACACAACAATAATTTCTCGCAACAATGACATTCAGATGCTGCTCCAGGGGGCTGAAATAAAGCCGGTATCAGTAAAGCCAGTACATGGTTCGAGCGTAACAAACTAAGTCTAAACAAAGACAAGACTCAACAGCTCATCTGCTCCCTCGCGGGAGTTGAAGTAGAAAATCAGCCAGTGAAATTGCTTGGATTCTATCTAGACAGCAAGCTCTCTTGGAATGATCATGTCAGCGTTGTGTGCAAGAAACTGTCAAGAGTAATCTCCCTGATCAGAAAACTGAAAAATTTGGTAACTTTGCAGTATCTTGTCGTCATCTATCACTCCCTGTTCCATACACACATCTCCTATGGACTGCTGTTGTGGGGGCACTCTGCAGCATGTGAGAGAGTACTTCTGTACCAGAAGATGGTTTTGAGGATTATGACAGGAGCTGAGTATAGGCAACACTGCAAACCTTTATTTCAAGAGCTTGGCATCCTGACAGTCTATGGGAACTACGTGTTGAGCTCCCTTCTCTACGTAAAAGAAAATTTAGCTGATTTTCAAATGAGAGGGCAGCTTCACGGTCACAATCTGAGAAACAACGACCTGATCTCTATTCCCAGATGCCGCACTTCTAAAGTGAAGGACAGTTTCCCACTACTGGCTTGTAAGATGTTTAATAGACTGCCTGAGAACATTAAGAACCTGGAGCCGAAACTGTTCAAAAAGAAGTTAAAGTCGTGGTGTTGCCAACAGAGTTTTTATTCCTTGGAGGATTACTTCAAAGCCCAGTTAGTTTTTTAATATTTTTTATGCCGCCTGACACTCAAGTTAATTTATTTATTTATATGTTGAAGTATTTTTTATTTGTGAGTTTTATGATATTTGTATCATTACTGACGCGACCTATCCAGAAATGGTCATCGGTCAAGAGGATGGTAATTATGGTAATTATGGTAATGCTATTTAACTTACATGAATGCAGGCTACATACAATGAAAGTGCAATAGATGAAACTCGTGAGAGAACGTAAACTTAATAAAATTTTTGGGTAGACTTCCGTAGGCTATCTGTTGGCACAAACAACCGAATGAAAATATCGATTAAGTTATTCAATTGTTTCATTCGATATTATTTTCCTGTTTAAGGGAACATTCATTATTATCGATGATTTCTTTTCGAGGGTAGACTTCCATATCTGTTGGCACAAACAACCGAATGAAAATATCGATTATTCGATTGTTTCATTCGATATAGGTATCGATTGATATTTTCATTCGGTTGTTTGTGCCAACAACAGATATGGAAGTCTACGCCTTTTCGATATATCGATATATTTTTTCTATCCGATATATTGATTAAGATAACAAATTAAAAAATATCAGTTGACATCTACAATAAGGATACAGTAGGCCTAAATAAATATTGTTCAGTATCAACAAACAATTAAAAAAATATTACGTTATAATAAAATAAAAACTGTTTTACTAACCTAACAAACCAAACTTGCTGTAACATTTCAACATTCCGTTTGATAGCCTATTCCTATGGGCTATCATTTTTGCCTAAACAAGGTGAGTTCTTTTGTAATTTAAATGTGTTTTAAATTACCACAACCTTAAAAATTTAATAAAATACAGTACATAACATAATAGATTGTTCAAGTTTTATCCTGATTGAAGAAGCTGGTATGCAACCAAGCTTATGGAAAATCCCTGAAATGTCAAAGCTTCATGCACAAAACTTAAACATTGCAACACAATTTTAACAAGTTTTATTTCAGTTTTAATGTAATGTACCACAGAAGATTTTACTTTATGCGTTCAAAAAACGTAAATTCATATTTAAGATTTCCTTCATGCAAAACCTTATATAAGGCGCTTTGTGGAATCTTCATGCAATGATTTTCATCATCTGTGTTACTTTGCCAACCCTTTTCACAACATTCTACCACAGAAGGATTTAACGTAGAAACATATAAAACCTCATTTTTTTCAATCTTAACTCTTAAAAGATATTCATTTTTCAACTTGCCAATTGGTGTTGCTTCAAAGGTAAATTTAAAATGTTCCCGGTCTAAATTATAAGTTAGGGTAATCCAGAATATCTTGTCAAACTTGGATATGAGAAGATGTTCAGTATGGTATGTCTCAGGATTAAAGCTGTGCAAAGTAAACTTCATAGATGACTTTGCTCCGTATTTAAAGATTTTCTTACAATGTTCTTTCTCATAGTGATCCATCAGTTTTATCAAAGGAGTCACAGTGTTACAATCGGTTTACCTACACTCCGCAGGTCTGAAGCCACAAAATTCCTCGTGGTCACTCCCGGGCTCCAGGATGTCTTGACAACCATCTTCATGGTACTTGCACTGACGAGGAAGGGCTTCCTTTTTTAAACACACAGGATTCTCTGTTGTAAATGGACCTTTGCATGTTGGGCAGTCATTTAACTTCTCACAGCAGCTGTTGCAAACCCGATGGCCTCTGCTGCATTTCTTAAATGGAATTTGGATTGTGTCCAGACACACTGGACATTCTACAATCTTTTTTACAGATAACGAGAGGTTCTTCAGTGAACTTTTTATTTTTTCCTGAAAATAAAATTTAAATCATGAATGAACAAATAGTTTATTCCACATCAAATGGTAACATACAAATATATTTAGAAAAAAGAGGAAAGTGGTTTTACCGCCAACAAATTATACTCACACTCACAACCAATGGAAAGAAGTTCACCAAAATATCATCCTAATGCTCCTCCAATGCTGTCATACAACCCGATCGACATGGAAGTTGAAATGTAACAAATTATGTGGATTACTGTAGGTATTTATGAAGGTGTGTTCAAATGTTTATATATGATTACATAAAAAAATATTTGTTAAATGAAGCTAATTAACTTATTGAATAAATGTGTTCAATCCGAGCAAAGCTCGGCCTCCGAATACTTGTGATAAAGTGGCTGGAGCAAAAGTCTACGTCTTTATCGCAAGTAGGATCCCAGTTTGAATTGTCAGGACTCAGGAGGTGTGTAGTTGTATAATAAGTACTAGGGAATAGGGAAATGATATTTCAAATATTTGTTTTTGTCTTTTCTTAGTAAATTATTTAATTGAAGGCTTAATTAATGACCATTAACTTATTAAGTGGAGGGAAAATGGCAAAATTAAAATCTTCACTCCCTAGAGGACCACTAAACCTCAATTTTAACACCTCAATCATTATTTTATCACAATACGGTTTTTAGAAATTCTGTTACAAATTTAACATTGCTCTTATGGAACTAAAGTCCAATATGGCTACCACTGATGAAGACTCTTAAGAAAGTTGGATGTTCACTTTTGTGAGGTTAATAATAGACAAGAGGATTATATTTTGTGTTAACCTCACGCAGAAATTATCTAACCTTAATAGTAAAAAATAATACTTGTGTGTAGGTGTGTCATAGTGGTAGGTATTAAACATATTTGTTTCATTTCAAAGCCAATAGCACATCTCTCAAGTAGATCTGACTAAAAGTGTTCAATGAAAAGCGTTATAAGAACCCTTGTATACAGACGGTTTTGTGTGCCATTTCACGCTGTAAAACGTGATTATAATTACTGATTGGATAAAAAAAACATTGCATTCCGTGTATCCAAGTCAGAATCAAGTTTTGCATAAAAACTGCGCAGAAAAAACGTCCCTTAAAAGGGCTAAAAAAAGGTATTAAATTTGTTGATGTAGCATGCAATATTGCCGATTATTTTTCTACAAAATCAGCTGACAGCGCATGTATTGGCCATTGGGGTGATATTAGTGAGGTCGGGGAGTGCGCTGACAAGTTGTGGAGGGGGGGGGGGCGGCAGCAAACTTCGTTGCCTAGAGGCGGCATTTACTTAAATACGTCCCTGAGCTACAGACAGTTAGTTCTTCATGAAACAGTTGCTTCATATTGATTAATAAACTATTTCTTGCCATGGAGCAAAAGTTTCATTTCTGACAATTCCAATTCAACAACTGTTTTACCAAAACATTAAAATGTGCATTTTTATAACCATTGGTTATGTAACCTGAACAGGTGACTCAAGCAGTTTAAAAATAATAATATTGTTCTGAGACGTTTTTGATCGGTCCAAACAATTTTGCTTTTCAAAAAACCTTAAGTAATTAATATATAACAAATTATACAGCCACTAAAAATCATGATTAATTAATAATAATTGATAATTAATTTTTGTAAAAAAAAAACAACCGACTTCAAACACTCTAAAAAGAATGAAATAATTTTAATAAAGTAAAATTTTGTAATATTCAAGCTCACGTAGGCCTATTTCAAGTCAATATTTCACACTGCAAACATAAAAAAACTAGGTGGCATTCGCAGAGGCTTCCACAAAATTGAGCGGAGTCGTCAAGGGTTCATATTAGCCTATATTGTTTTTGTCATACTGCAGTAAAAACAGTGGTTACTAATGCATGTGTGGCGGGTCTAAAGTAGGATTTTTACACATTAGGTAGTAAAAATTGTTTTTAGCCTCTATAGAGTAAAAATCAGCTTTTGTCAACTCAGTTGTAAATTTCTATTGTAAACGATTGCAAGTATCGAAATATGTATCCATTCGTGCTTCGTAACCATTTTAACCTACAGCCTACAGTCTCTTCCCATAGCATTTTAACATTGCTGATAAATTTATCCATTCCCACACTCAACACTGCTCACCTTTACTACTTCCTTCACCACCCCCTACGTCGTGGACCTGTTACCCTCTCTTCCCATAGCATTTCAGTATTGCAGATACATTACTCTAACTGCTACAAACTGTTTCTAGTTCCCACACTCCACACTGCTCACCTTTTCACCTTCTTTCGCCCCTTCCTAAGTTGCGAACCTGTTTCCCTCCCATATCCCATAGCATTTTAGGATTGCAGATACCTTAATCTAATCGTCATAAACAGTACCCACACTCCGGACTACTCGCCTTGACTACTTCCTTCATCACTTCCTACGTCACGGACCTTTTTCCCCCTCTTCCCATAGCATTTTAGGATTGTCCATACCCTTATCTAATCGTCATAAACAGTTCCCACACTCCGGACAGCTTACCTAGACTACTTCCTTCACCACTTAATACGTCGCGGACCTGTTTTCCTTCCTCCCCATAGCATTTTAGGATTGCAGATACCCTAATCTTATTGTCATAAACAGTCCCACACTCCGGACTGCTTGCCTTTATCACTTCCTATGTCACGGACCTCTTTCCCTCTATTCCCATAGCATTTTATGATTGCCTTTACTACTTCCTTCACCAGTTCCTACGTCGCGGAACTGATTCCTTCCCTTCTTCCCTTCCCACAGCATTTTAGGATTGCAAATACCTTAATCTAATCGTCATAAACAGTTCCCACACTCCGGACAGCTCGCCTTTATTACTTCCTTTATCACTTCCTACGTCACGGACCTGTTTCCCTCCCTTCCCATAGCATTTTAGGATTGCCTTTACTACTTCCTTCACCACTTCCTACGTCGCGGACCTGATTCCTTCCCTTCCCATAGCATTTTAGGATTGCAGATACCTTAATCTAATCGTCATAAACAGATCCCAGACTTCGCACTACTACCCTTGACTACAATCATAGATAAAACATACTCCCTTAGTAGATTTTTCATCCTTATGGAACAGCTGAAGACAATTTTATTGTTAGTTCATGTACGGTTTATGTAGAGGTCGTGTTTTGTTTACAATTTGTTTCCCGTTATTACAGCCATTTAAAACCTCGTTTAACCAAATAATACGATCTAATCATAAACAATAACTTGTCCCCTAGTTATATAACCAAACAGTAAAGCACAAATCAAGAAATTAACCCTAAAATAATAGAAACAATGTTTCGTCGACACTAGCGCCTTTGTGTCACGTACATGAACTAGACACGAAAAACGTGCTTCAAAATTTACAATGGGGTGAGAAGTCTACTTGTGTTGGTTAGTCTATGCTACAATGTATCGTATAATCTTCAGTATAATCTTTGCTAAATATTACCAAGTGATTTTTTTCCCTTTGTACTGTATTTATAATTTGCTAGTATACTGTGGGTAGTTGGCTTATTATGAACATATGCTACAACTTCAAGTCTTTTGTTTACTTTTTCCTTGTTATTTAATTCAGCCAACATGGTTACCTAGCAACCCATAAGACTAATGTTAAAAAAATTTGATTTTCAGTTTCATTTTTCTACGTAATTAGATTTTTGTTGGTAGTTCTAACTGCAGTAAACTCGTTTTTAGGCCAGAAATAAACTATTTACAACATTTGAAGAAAATCGTCGGAGCCGTTTTCGAGATCTTGGTACAAGCAAGCAAGCATACATACATACAAGCAAACATTGCTCGTATTTGAGTATAGGATTTTCCTTGGTTTAATTTAATCACTGATGTGACAAAACACAAGTAATAAATTTATCAAATAAAGTAAATGTGAACTGAAATCTATGTTAAGATAAAATAAGAGTATTTAAATCAACGATATACAATTTAGTTATTGATGATATTCTTTAGCTTAATTTAAGCATAGGTTTAGCAAAACAAAATAACTAAATTTACCTAAATATACATATATATAAAAAACAATGTGATGTGAAAGTTATGTTAAGTTAATCTAACACATGTTAAGCAGTTTGAATTTATTTAAAGTAGACTCCAAATTCATATAAAACATCTATACATTGTAATTTTCTTATTGTTTCCATGAAAATATATCAATACCGTAATATTATTTTTATAACACTAAAGACACCTTAAAAATTGAAAGTAGAGCCTGAGTTGAGTTGATGCAGCAATGCTTTTAGAATATTTTTTTTTATTTCTATAATCATTGACATAGTTTTTGAATAAATGATCTTTAATAATTTTTTAGATTAAATAAACCAACCACATAATTGACACCATTAGATTTTTATATAATAGTATAGATAAACTCACCAACTCTGCCATTTTGTTGTTTTATTTCTGTCACTAAGCTTGTGTCTCATTTTCTTAACAAAAAACACCTGAAAACAGAAAATTGTTTTATAGTGGAGATAAAATCAGTTTGTAGGTACTGAACGACTAAACAGCTCAATAATAATAATAATTTTACAATAATAATAACAATTCAACAATAATAATAGTTTTAATATAAGTTTAAAATTGATATCAAAACAATTTTTTCTAATTTTTTTGCTACTTGGGTACCTATCAAAAAAGGAAACAATAAAAAAATAAAAAGTAAGTTAAAATCGATAAAATAATGGATTGAATGATCAAATGAAACAATCGATATATTGATAGTTTTAATCATGAATGTGGTTAACTAAAGTGCAGCCATACAAAATAATATTAGCATATCATAGGCTAAAATGATATCATCAAAATCCAAGATGGTGAGATTGAGTGACCTACCTACTTTGTTGATTTGGCATGAAATGATCCAGGGGTTTAACAAAATTCCATTAAGAATGGATAGTTTAGGTTCACACTGTTTTATGTTCTACAATATAAACTCAGTGGTCGCCGGAATTTTACCCCCTGGGCAAAGCTGATGTCACTATGACTTAGTAACCTGAGCGCTCCAAAGTTTGTTCGCGGCCGTAATTTTACCCCCACGGATTTGGAAGTCTAATGAAAATAGAGCGTGATAAATTAGATTAGCAATAAAAACCTAAATTTTAACCCCTGTCCATATAACTAGCGTTTAGACAACTGTAGATGTACAACCTGGATTTTTACCCCCTGGCTAGATATAGAAATTGTATTGATAATGATTAATTTTCTTCTTTCAGATTTAATTTAATAATAAACATTTTATTATTAAGTAGTCTATCTTAATTTAATTGTAATCTCAACCAAGTAAAAAAGTTTCGCTGTTTAATTTTGATATTAGAGATTTGGGTTTGGGGCCAACTGTTGATTAATATGTAATTATGTATAATAAACTGAGTAACTTATACAATTTAAATGATAAGTTTAATTGGGTGAACATTTCTTTAACGATTTATTATACCACAGTGGAAAAAAATTTATTTCGTTTCTGTTGTACAATAACACAATATACGCCTTTTTGTTTCTTCAGCCACAAACCATGAACTATTTATGGTTTGCACTGAGAGAGGTCATTGAAAAACCTGTTGTAAAATGTAGTTGTAGGCATCCAGTACAAAGTAGTCGACTACTTTTGTGTTGACTACTGCAAGGAAACCCAAATGTTTATATTATACATAATGACCAACAGTTGGCCCGAAAAATTTAATCCCGAAACTCGAATATTAAAATTCAAACCCTGATTGATTAAATTAGTTAAGGTTACAAATATATTAAGATAAGCTACAAGTTGTTTACCATTAAATTAAAACTGAAAGAATAAAATTAATTATTCTCACTTATTTCTATATCTAGCCAGGGGGTAAAATTCCTGGAGTAAAAATCCGGGGGTAAAAATCTGGGCCGTATTTTGAGCTGACCTCTTGAAGGGGGTAAAATTCCGGCCCGTAAACTCTAGGTTTTATAATTTGATGTGTTCTGATTAAATTGACAACCGTGCAAATATACATTTAATTCCACCTTTAATCCATCGAACTGATGTTGTGCAACTCATAAGTTCGCGGCCAGAATTCTAGCTGTACCCGTGGGCTTTGCCCCGTTTAACTTCATAAGTATTCGCATGGCTCAATCACGTCGTGGTTGAAGTTCGTTCACTACGCTCACTCACACCTTTAGGTTGGAGCTCATTTGCTGCGCTCACTTGCCTTCAGGTTAGCTCGTTCACGACGCTAACTCGCCTCCAGGTTGAAGTTCGTTCGCTACGCTCACTCACCTTTTGGTTGCAAATTAGCTGATGCCATAAATTTAAAAAAAATTATAGTGCTGCACCCTGTTGGTAATCCTTGTAACTTTAATGCTATTGAACATCATAGAACAGAACCAACTTGTTTAATTGAAACAGCTGTTAAGATTCATTAATTCCTTTTAAATATGAAAAATCATAAGGTTAATATGGGAAACTCCAGAGCCACTGGGGCGGAGCCCGAAAGCCCGATCAGAATAAAAACTACCTAGTTTTCCTATTTAATGCCCAAAGAATCGGTGTACCGAATTTCAGCCTCCTAGGTAAATGGGAAGTGGGAGAATTAGATGAGTGAGTGAGTCAGTTAGGGCTTTGCCTTTTATATATTTAAATTCCACCTTTAATCCATCGAACTGTGTTGTGCAACTCAAAAGTTTGCAGCCGGAATTTTACCCCCTAGTGTGTGACGTCAGTTTTGCGCAGGGGGTAAGATTCCAGGGGGATAAAAATCCGCTACCCCAAACTCTGGAGGTGGACGAGCCTGTTACAAACATTTCTCAGGGCCGAGGATCATACAATGTCTTAAGTTAGGCTATTTTTTGTGTACGATGTTTGTGTTTGGTTAACTCACTTATTCACACAGAACCGGTTTAAGTTAGCTTCTAAGGTTAAAGAAAGCTTAATATACGGTACCACACTTACCTTACAGCACCAACTTTTAAGAGGAAGTAGGCTATGCCCCCCTACTTATCACAAGGCGAGTTAGTTGATAAGGCATGGAACCCATGAGCATAACTGATAAGTTAAAGGGATACATCAGTACTGGCATGCATATTTTAATAAATTCCCATCAAGAATGAACTAACTTACTATGCTTTACTGTCTACTCAGTTATGATGAGACAGAGATCTATCTACTAGTATCTAAAGTAATAAGTAGTATATTAACAAAAACTAATATAAAACTCACTTTTGATAAGAAGATAACAACGCATACAGAGGCAGGCATCAGTCAAGTCAGAACCAGAACCAACCAGCAGAACTCAGGCAGGGCAGGAAGGAAAGGAGGAGCGTGAGCAAGCATGAGAGACTGCTGCAGCGCCTGCGCATCGGCCGGAAATCAAATATCTTAGTGGAGGGAAAACCTTTGCTTATAGGCAGGCAGACCGAGAGCGTTGATTAAACATTATATTCTGACAGTGTTTTATATGTATTTCATGGTGTTGACCTCTGTTATAGTATACAGGGTGAACAACTTATCTGTGCCACCATTGGTATCTCAGAAACCATTAGATTTAGAGAGAACATTAAACGGGGAACTTCAATGGCATAAAAAAATATGAATTCCAATGTTTCAAAAATGGCCGCCATTTTCTCTCTAAACCTTCTCGTTTACAGGGCCGGACTTAGGACTTCAGAGGCCCCGGGCGAATTTGCCGATGGGGCCCCCAGTATGATTATACGAGAACAAATACGGTACACAATGTAACGCATATTGCATGCACACTAATTTTAAATAGGCAATTTCAAGGTGAATTAATATGTAAACCTGTTAGAATAGTATGCTGTATTTTGCATAAACTAATTTTATGTAATATTTTAAGTCTGAAAATAGCTACAATGTACGGTGTTCTGTTATGATTTGTTCTTGTTGTAATTGTATTTATAAAATTTTAATATACCTAGCAGGTACCTTACAAATTTTTTTGCAATACATTAAAATGTAATATCCTTTGCAACAAATAATGAAAACTATAGATAAAATAAAAATAAAATAACACGTAGCCTACTTGTAAAAGGTTTAATTTAATTTTTTTACTGTAATACACATTCTATTTGGTGCTTGAATGAAAACACAAATAAAAAATAACTAACATTAATAAATGGAGTAAGTTATATTTAAACACGTGATGTAAGTCAGAGATAATGCATACACTTTTAAAGCTTTAATATATTTTATAACTTACTATAATTTTACTAACAAACCTTTTACTAAGTTTATAAGATACAAGTCAAAACAATTTTAAAGTTTACTTTTTATAGATTAATCATTATAAGGTTTAGAACATAGTTATTTTCCCTATAAATACATGTCACTTCCCACTCGGATACGTTGGTCACGTTGGCATGGCAATTAAAACCCCCTTTTCCTACATTTCTTGACTGCACTAAAACTATAAAACCATAAACTATGACTTATGTTTATTTTCATAATGGTTTTGGTATGGAATTCTCGTTTGTATAATATGTTAAAGTACTAGCATGAAAAGTACCATTAAGAACTTTAACGAGTTTGAGTTTTTTCTTGACGAGTAAAATGTTACAATACAAGTCTAATAACCAATCACAAGCACAAGCACAAGCTAACCATTTATATGAGTAACTGAAAGATGTTTAAATGTATTCAATATCTCAGATTAATACAACACAAACATAACATTCAATACAACATTAATTTGTTCTTTGTAGTGTTTGCAGAATTATTAATAAAATACAACACAAAAGTACGACAATGTCAACCAAAAACACACTGGGAGTAAAGTGATTTAAATGGTTTTGGATAGGCGATAAGGCATTGTATGTATGTTTATGCGCGTGCGTGAGACAGACAGGACTAGACAGGATCCCTTATTAGCTCATTATCATTTATTGTTGCAGCTGCTTGTTGTTTTTTTACGATTTCAGTCGACAACGCTCGCCCGCTCCCAAATAATGTAATTTTTTTTAACATCAGACGACCCTATAGTTGTCATAAAATGTCTATATAGATTTTTTTATCCTACTGGCACTGTATGATTTTGACTCTTAATGACTAAATTGAAGATACAAATTTCGACGTATAACTTAATTACTATTTTACAAAACCTTTTAATTGAAAGGTTAATATAATACTTCTGCCCCTTAAAATCGTGATTGGCATATACTTAGAGGTAAAAGAATAACATCTAATAAAACATAAACAGAGCAATGTTTTTATTTTCAAAAGTATTAGAACTCCATTGAATCTCCATTTAATATATAAGTATAGCCCAACACAATTGTACAAGTTACGTTCTACGTTAGGACAAGAGTTTTCATATTATTTATTGTATTTTTTGCCCCAAGTGAAGGGGCCCCCTTCAACTCGATCGCCGCGGCCGTACGTTTGTGTGAACAGCTTCATTGAAACTCAA